GTACTCTTCTCGCGTCAACCGCGGTCAAAGTAGATGGCGACGGTCTATTGTCGGTCCCTACAGTTAAGGTGCTCTCGTGCTGTTGAATTGGCACTGGTTCCGCAACAGCATTCCAGTGTGGCTCGGCAGAGCCATCAGATTGATGTTGAGGTGTGTGCGTCGTTGTAGTTTCGGGGTCACCTTTTGTCGTCTTGACAAACTCGCAAGTACTTTCAGACCCACGCGAAGTACAGGCTTCACAAGGAGGCACTCTGCCGGTGCAACGAGTTTTCCGTATGCGGCACGGTATGCAGGCTGATCTGCGACCTTTATGTAGGTGGTCCTCTCTGTGACGTTCAGTATCAAAAGAACACATGTATCTTCCATCGACGCATTCCTCGCAGGGCGGCCCTCCCTTGCAAATTGTGTTCTTACTGCAGCATAGGAGACATGCATCGGTGTTCAACCTTGCGTTCTGTCCAAACGATTTACTGCGAGGTGCAGTGGCGATGAATTCACAAGTCTGACTTTCATGTTTGAGGCAAGTCTCACATGGAGGTCCCCCAGTACAGCGACTCTTACTCCTGCGACAGGTCTCGCAAGCTCTATAAGCGCGAGCTTGCATGGTCATTTGGGATTTCTGAAGTTCGGAGGTCGTAGAAATCCGAAAAGAAGCGTTGAATGAAACCGAATTTATTCTGTGAAACGAGCTGGGAACTCTGAGCTTTATAGTTGGTCGGGCCTTCAGCTTCACCTCGGTGGAGGCGGCAAATTTCTTGACCTCGGTTGTAAGTTTCCGCTATTCTATCTTGTATTCAAAATTTGATCAATCCTTGATGTTATTCGTCCTATGATATTGAATCAAACGGGGCTATCCACAATCACAACATGTTTCGTCACCTTTATCTCCCCGCCAAACATTGGCATTGTCTCAGATACCTCCATTCCACACATGGTAGTCCCGTTGCCTGTAACGCCCCATTGCTGTAACGATGTTTTTGTATCCATGATTTTATGAGCAAAATAAAATTTCCAATCCGTTTCCGGGGGTGCCTGAGTCTGTCAGACATGAAGTAAAATCATCATGGCTTCATACCTGTTGAGTCTGAAGCCACTCAAGTGCACGTCCTATCATTATAAACGGAGCGCTTCGGTTCATATTCGTCCCGCGGTGATGTCGTATGAAGTAAGTAGGACAAGCTAGGTGTGAGAAATGCCGATTGACAACACTGCAATTTGTATGTTACTGTTCACTAACAATTGTAAGCCGTGTATCAAAAGGCCTGAGGTAAACATACGTAGAACAAGGACTCTCGGATGTGGCGACAAGTTATTACGCAAATCAGAATTGTAACATAAAGGATCAAACAATGCCATATGCAAGCACCGAGAGAAAGTGTTTCCAGCTCCTGGTCACGCATGATGAAGGACATGCGTATGTTGTTGTTGTGTATTTATATCACTTGTGAGGATAAATCCACAATTCACAGCACTGGATGTTCATCCAGGGACAATATCTCAGCATGCAGGTACATGCATACTTTTCCCAGCATATGCAGTGCAAATTGCTCACCATCAAAAATCTAGACATGCTAAATAAATACCATCTTAAGTCGAGAACAGTAGTTTCTCATTGAGGTATCAAATACTGGGAGAGGTGGTTTTGTTCGACTCTAAATGCCATTGGTTATTATTGGCTGGTATAAACCCTAGGTCAGATTTATAAGATCCCTGGAATATATTTTCCAGACTTTAATTTGATGGCCCCTTTCCTGTCTTTAACAGTTACTTAACAGTAGAATGGTATTCATTCGCCCCAAGTGACTTTCCGTTTATTCGGGGAATGGGAAGCAAACATTTTCCGGCAAAGCACTCTAGTGAAGCAGAAGATCTATGCAAATGCGCCGGTCTAGATTTTACTCCGGAAAGTGACGCCACTTCGCTATGGGAAGTTCTTTACATAGTAATAATATGAAATAAGCATCACCTTTTTCTTTGGTCCTTCGACATCTGGAGCATACCAGGTCTTGACTGGGTTTCTTTTTCTCTTTGGAGACCACCTCATGATAATGAAGAGGATAATAACTTAACGTCCATACCAAACATCGTGTTAAATAGCACCTTTGAGCTTCGCAGTCGTCCTTTTTTGAACTATATGTTCCTTTATCAATAGTACCCGAGTCTTCTAAGGCGGCTGCCAATGTCTTGCAGTGACACTTTATACCATTTTTCCAAATCCACAGGCATCTCATATCCCAAAACGTTTGCGAGATTTTGTCTTCTTTCGTACTCGTGCAGATATCTTGAATGTAGGCGCTGGTAACATAAAGCCTTTTTTTGATCGAGGTTTTTTGTTGGTTGGTTCAAGACAATCGGATCATCGATGCTCAGAGGAACGAATTTTGGAATGCCATACTTCGCCCAAACTCGTGTGATACCATCCTCGCGAACCGCAAGATCGGCCGGGAATGCATCTATTGTGTTACCCTGGTCATCTTGGGCTTGGTGCCTAGCATTAAGATCATGGAGAACAATGGCATCAAGCACCACATCATCGAGGCCATTGCTTTTGACATCTTTCATGATTTCAATGCCACTGTGAGGAAACCAAATGCGCATGGTCTGTTTGGTTAGAGGCTTGTGTGAACATGAAAGAGATGGGCACTTACGTGCAAGCGTTGTGGTACTGGGCTTTTTGCAGGAACACCAGAGGCTGGAGATGAAATCAAGATAGGCTGTTCTTTCGACATCGTGGGAGTATCTGACTTCGTGGAATCGAGGATCGAACTTCGATTGGAATCTGGTCCTCCGAATAGAACAGTCTCACGTCGGTTGCCTGGGGAGAGGATGCGCGGTACGAAGGTTGATAGCAGGCTGCGAACGCTTTCTATGCTTAAACAGGGCATAATCTCACATTTGATAAAATCTTGATGGAGATTACGAACTTTTAAAGATTCTGAGGAAGCGTCTTTATAATACAATCAGCGACGTAGGCTTGTGCTCCTTTGGTTGAGGCTTGAATCAGGGTGGCAACATCGGGTTTATTTCTCGACGTGGTAGTAGGAGAGGTAATAGGTTCGGCTTGATTTACAGACTGGCACCAAAATAGCATCTGAACGTTCATAAAACAAGCCACAACAACCTTTGGTCTATAGCACCCAACACAATTTATCCACGCGAAGATAATGAGTACGTTTGAAGTATCGTACAAAAGAGACTGTTCATGACCCAGTATACCTTGGAAATATGTAGAATCTCAAGATTCTTTTCGGGCCGTCACTAATCCTTTGTTATGCCAAAAAGCTGGAACTGACCTTAACATGCGGCTGTCTGTGTTGCTGAAATTATCCTTTACTGAGTAACTAACTAGTTAGCTAGGCGAGGTGACTAATCAACTATGATATATCGGAATAAACATAACCTGGTAAGTCCGTTCTCTGACAGTTTCTCTAATCACGTGTAAACTTCGATTGAGATCTTTTTTTTCCGATGGAGGGAGGAAAAGAGGAGATGAATTATCCGAATATACTACATCTTCAGTTTCAAGCTTAAGGTCAGTCCCCAGGCCGTGCCCATAAATCGATCTTTAGATGTTTGCAACAGGCTCCCAGGAATTGGATAACAGTCAAACCCGGGCAAGTCCGTCAACAACTGCACCAAAAGAGTGATGGAAAAAGCCCAGCAAGAATATTCCTGACATTCAAGGCTACAAATAAAACAAAGTAGAATTAGACATATTCCCTTTCCTATATCCCATTCAACCCCCAATCCTGTAAGAAGGCACTTGTCGTGTCACTTTTGGCACTAGTCCATTTTAGGCGGATCTCTTGGTTGCAACCAAGAGATCCGCCTAAAATGGACTAGTGATGGGGCAACAAACACACCTGAGATGTTACTGTAATAAACATTTTGTGATATGCTCCTGTGCGTGATCAAAGATCAGTTGTAAAGTTCTGTGTGGAGTGCATTCTGGCCTCAAATACCAAACTGCTCAGCACATCTAGGTATCGATCTGGTATTCAGTCAAAAAATTCGAGTCAATCGGCCTCAATGCACCTTGATGCGTTCGCGAATCTGCAGCAATACATGAGCTAAAATATATTTTGGAAATGCCGCGACTATACTGTCATCTGGGGATTGGCAGTTTGAAGATAAACGTCCTTCGAACTGCAACCCCTCTTTGCTATTTGCCTGCAATTTCAGGGATCATAGGTCATCCATTCTAGCTCTTCATGTTCTTCTTCAGGTCATTGAAAAGCTTTTCGACCCTCGCCTTTGCATCCGACGCATCAGATGTGTCAGAATCAACCGGGACATCTGCCTCTGACCAGACCTTGTGAGAGTCTTTGTTTGCCAAATCTTTTAGAGTCGAGTTCGCTGCGTTCTTGTTGATTTGCCATTTGTATCTTCTGTAGTCCTTTCCATCTATCTCAATCTGCTCGCTGTGATCGAGACGAGATCCGATACTTGCATCGTTCTGACCACTCTGAGACGGAGCAGCTCTAGTGCCAGCGATGCCTTGACCTTGGGCCAGTTTTGTGATTTGCGAATTTCGTCCTAGCACCCAGTTCTTAAGCTTTTCGAGGGATTCCAGTCTTGCGCGGCTCATCTTGGCTAAATTTATCAACCCATGTCTCCAAATTGGGCATCAAATGTGATTACTTACTAAGTAAGAAAGGTACGCACGATAACCAAGTATTCAAATATAAGACCGAATCCCAAACTTCTGCAAGTCAAACTGTCCACTAGCACAAGAGTACATAGAAGAAGAAGCAGCTTCCCCGGTCCTGGCTCTGCTTAAATATTTTTAAACAAGCCAAGCAAATGAGGGGTATACGCATGTTCAAATAGTATTATTAATAGGCTAACTGTAAGAGTGGATGGCCTGGTGTATTTGTTACTTTAATTTATGTTTTTATTCTCAGAACTAAGCCCAATCAACATCGCAGGAGCATGCACAAGAAAAAGAAACAAACAAACTACCCGAATGCTTCGAGTCAACTGCCAAATGGCCATAATCTTCATTTCCATGCTCGCTCTTCTTCAGAAGACTTGAGACGCTTGTATGTTTTGGCCTTGGCTTGGTTCAGGAGCTTTATTGTATCATCGTACTGATCATGCCTCACGACTCCCTTTTCTGGCCATAGCTCACCTAGTGAATTCTTGATATCCGCCAACAACTCCATACCTCGAATGGCGCCAGAAACATCACTTTCGAGTGAGCTAATCTCACCATCGGAGAGCTGCACTGGGAAAGGAGGATTTCCGAATGCTTGAACGCCTGGTATATCTGGCCATTCTTTCTCCAGATCCAGAGCATTGGCCTGGTATAATGCCTCCCCGTCTACCAAAAGATTCTGGGCAAGTAGCATCATTTCGAAACATTTGGTCTGCCGAAACCCCATCGCCCTGTAAAGTACCGGATTGTCGCGATGTGTAAGGTTCTTGTATAATGCCGACAGAGACATGCTCATATAGAGCTGTTTTGCTTCCAGTTGTTTTTCCAACGAAAGTTCGGCGAAATTCTCGGGGAAAGCTGGCGGTACAAGGCCTTCGACGGTTGGTCCATCATAATCCAGGAAATACGGCTGGCGAGCATGTTCAAATAAAGGTAATAGTTCCGTTGATTGCCAATCTATGATCCCTGAAACTTCCGTGGGGCGTTCCGGGTTAACGAAAATGTTCTCCGTGTGAAGGTCGCTATGCCACAGGACGGACGCCATAATCGACGTGTCGGTTGGTAAGAGGTATCGCACCATCTGAAGGTAACTGTGTAGAGCAGCTGCTTTCTTAGCCCGAGTCGGGCAGTATGTACCGGGTCCATAAAGACTCAAAGGGGATCGGGGGAGTTCTGCGATGCTCTGTACGCAGGTAATCTCTCGAAAGCCAACTGCGCGCCGATACTGAAAAACATCATCCCCTAGAAGCAACAAAAAATCTTATGTGAGCAATGTAAATGTAAATCAATCCAAAATGACGACTCACATGGTCCGCGGTCAAAATCAATTGATACCCGCCCATGATCAACTTGATCTCGACCTGTCGATGGCCCAATAGCAAAATGAGGCTCTGTGGCCCGAGTGCCATCGCTCTTTATTAAAACACATTCTTTCTGATGGTCGGTGTCGCTTGAATAGTAAAGGCTCCCATATTTCGTGAAGGAAGTAGACAACCAAGATTTTTGATATCCTGAGATCGCTTTCACAATTTCAAATCTATCTTCGATGCTCATATTGTGCCAGACGTGACTTAGCTGGACACCTGCAACCTTTTCCATAATGATGTATTCGGCACCAACAGCATTCTCGCCTGCTTTCGAACTCCAGGCTAGAACACGTGGAACAGGAGTACCCAAGACATTGCGAGCCTTACGAAGATTAGTGACCATCAAGAAGCAGGTAAGCCGTAGAGTAGAGTCAAGGGCGGCTTACAAAATCCATTGTTGCCACCTCACTAGCTGTCGTAAGACAAGCCTGTCCGGCGTTGGGGTTTGGCACCTTTGCGACCACTTCAATGCCATTTGCCATGGTGAACAAGAACGTTTTGTTGAACATGCCATCAGGAAATTTTTTGATATGAACACATCCCCTTGCGCCGACCGAATCAGCGGCAAGCCTCGCAAGTTCGTTCATATCAAATTTTACCCGGCGTATTGACAGTTCATGTTCTTCATCTGATACAAATCGTCCCCTTGTGTACTCGAAGAACTCGTTAACCGAGTTCCAGTTTTTTTGTATTGACCTGCTAGAGCCTCGTCTGAAAAGGAGGGAAAGACGTAACTTCTTCGAGGGCCTGGCTGATTGAGTGAATAGCCGGCGCATAGCTGTGGTAGAGTTCAAATCAATGAGAATGCTACAGTGATGCGAGAATGAAATAATGAATGGAAGATGTAAGTTCACGCGCGAGGATTATTGACCGCCTAGGAATAACAAAGTCGCTCACGTGAGCAAACGACTTGCTGCTTAGGTCCGGTCCGGTAATCTGCGTATCATCACGTGAGTTAGTGCCTAACGTTGCTTTCTCTGACTTGACTGACCCCTCCCCCTCCTTAGAAGCTTGAAGATATTCTAAGGCGAGGTTCATTCTTTCCTTTTCCTCAAGGTATGCAGATATTGATTATACCAGAAATAATTTGTTCTCTCTCATGACTCTTGAACCAGCGACCGTTGCTGATCCCTACCACTGCCTTCTTCGGTAGCTGCTACATATCGCCAAAATGGATCCTCATGAACTACCTCGGGCCGCAGAAGAAATCCGACAGGAAATAAAGGGAATGATACCCGAAACAGCTATTTTGGAAGATCAACACAGCGAAATTCAAGCGATGATTCTCGAGGAGGACGAAAATGGGACTAAGGCTTACGGGGGAGATCCACTTGCGGCAAAGATTTCGCGTTTGACGGGCAAGATGGGCATCGGCATTGTATGTACGTCTCATTGTATTCAAGGTCTTGGACTGATCAAGTATTAGGGTTGGAGATTTCGTCTTGTTTACTGGTCGGAGCCTACCAAACTTCTTAATGACCGAAAGCAAGGATATCTCATACCATTAAAAGAAATCACTTTAACGCCTGGAGGAACGTTGAAAGAACGTTATTACGTTGAAGTCACTAATGAGCCACTTCTTAGCTCGGGGGCAGCAGCTATTTTCATAGTTCCAGCGTGATTAACAGAAGTGCTCAATTAGTATGTACTTGTTCAATTTATACATGTGATATCCTTTTTGCCACAAATGACTGCATAGCTGGCATGCACAATGGCAAGTTCTGACTGCGAGTAAAATCATTTCACGACGACAGGCCACTGGATTTGCTGACGAGAAACGCTCCAGTGGTATTGTGACGAGATATTGGGTGTTTCAATGGAAGTTTGGGATTCAGGATCTCGATACTCAACCGCGAATGGCTCCACTGCACCATCTGGTCCGAAAATATCTCGATCCTGAAGCATTTCCATGGATTCTCGTGGTATTGGGTCGGCGTTTTCATGCATGCTCAATGTGCTGCCCATCCAAGCAATGGCTCGCTCGTCAATCGCGTCCATGGGCTCTTGTGGTATTGGATAAGCGTTTTCATGCATGTTCAATGTGCTGCCCGTCCAAGCAATGGCTCGCTCGTCAATCGCGTCCATGGGCTCTTGTGGTATTGGATAAGCGTTTTCATGCATGTTCAATGTGCTGCCCGTCCAAGCAATGGCTCGCTCGTCAATCGCGTCCATGGGCTCTTGTGGTATTGGATAAGCGTTTTCATGCATGTTCAACGTACTGCCCATCCAGGCTAGGGTATGCTCGCCTACCATGCCGATGGACCCGGACTGCACCATTGGTGCGGAAATTTCCTCGGCAGAAAACCCAGGGCTATCTCGGGCTATCTCGTTGCCGTCTCCGTGGGTTGGAAGATGCGCCGCGGAATTACTGACTGCGATATGGAGATTCGAGGTGGAAGTGGACGGAACTGGAGCTGCTGAGTGTGGACGAGAGTGTCCTAATGGATACTCCACTTCCCTCGTTTCTGGGCATGTCGTGGGATAAATTTGTCTTTCCACGTCTTGCCTTGCAGAGTTTCCTGCATGCTGTATTCGGAAAGATCGCGTCTGTTGGAGTGCCCAATCTTTGCGAAGTCTTCGTCAGTTGGTTTTGACGGGGAAAGATTGCAGCCTACTGACCTTGACCTGTTCCCGTGAATTGGGTACCCCGAGATATTGAATCTTCGATCTTCTCCCATAGTTTGCCGAACATGGCATCCGCTAGGTCGTCTATGTTATTCTTGCCCTCAACATCCAAAATTCCACGAATCTTGAGACGTCGAATTTCCTCTTCCCTGTCCGGCCCACTCAGTGGTATTGCTCTGATACTATGTTGAAGTCAATACTTCGGTCAGATTGTCATTATGGAGAGCTTACAACTCGTCATGGACATCTCCGGGAAAGCAGAATATGTTTCCAAGATGGGTGTCATTCTTTGCCTCAGCACACCCTATGTCTTGACACAAAGCATCAATCCTTCTCCCTTCATTTGTCCACCCGGTCACTTGACGTGTGATGGTTTCCAAGTCACTACTTACCAAACCTGACTTCAAAATTATGTGAGCTGCCTTCTCCACATTGTTGGGACGCATTTGATCGATGCATAACCTGTTTTTCAGTCGATGATACATCACTTTGAGGAACCTTGAGCGGATTGTGTCAGATTCTCTTCGCTCATGCACCTTTGTTAGGTACTTATAAGATTGTGCAAGTGGTAACTCGTCAAGATCAAGTGTACTGTCATCTTCCGTAAAGAATAGGAGTGGACGTTCTTTCCAGCGGAGCACATTTTCCCTAAACTTTTCAGGGATAGTAATTTTCGAATCGTGTGCTTTCTTAACTCGTTTTCGAGGTCTTGTCGGGGAATTATGGCACGGGGGGCGGCCAATGCTTCTCCTGGCACCGACTGGGATTTGAGACCAAAGGCATCGCAGCGAACTGATAAACTGTCCTCTGTTAGTGTCTTTGTCTAACAGGGTATTGATTCCAAGCACACCACTTTGCTGGTAAGAAGGTCTTCAATGTTATCCTTCTCATTTTCCTCGGCCTCCGCGCAGGCAGCAGAGAGAGTTTCGATGACGACTCTACTTTCAGAGACACCCATGGTAATCTTGATGAAGACAGGTGGGATAGACGATGATGCTAGGTTTTGTGATTGTAGGTGCGAAAAGCAATGTATTGTTCGAATTTGGCGAAAGCGAGGGAAACGGGGGGGGAGGGGATAGTCAACGAGAAGATCTTCCTTTAGTTGCACTAAATTACATGAGCTGCGGGGCGCTATTCCGAGGCGCCTATTGGTGCCTCATGATTGGGGCTTTGAGGTCCCTCGTGCGGCGCGACCCGTTATAGGAATTCCTGGAGATAACGCTCGTTCGTAAGTATGGTGCAAGCCCTTGGCTTGCCCTCCGAGCTAGGAGGAAGGTACGGATAACATAGCTACTGTACATTTATATGAAAAAAATATATATATATTTGGTTATAGCGTCATTAGGAGGTGTTGTTGGCGCTAGAACAGAGCGCATGTTGAATATTGATAATTGGTACGTGCTAACGCTGGATTTGACGCATCATGGTATGGGTTGCTCGGCAGCAACACTGATGATTGGGCAATGATCACTCGAAGCACCGTGCCAATTAAACTCATAATATTTTACCAGAACCAGTATTGTAATTTAGCCAAGAGGTCAGTGCGGTAATACGTGCGGCAGTCGCGCATGTGCATCATGATTATTTGCGACCTATCTCGTACTGTTCCTCCTTTCCCCTTTGAATATGAAACTATATCGCTTTGTTCTGGCATCAAATCCCGCAGGCTTGGATTAAGATTTGCCAGGCGGCCAGAATCCATTGTGGTAGTTCCACGAGATAAGCGGATCAGATTAGGGATTATGTCCGTTTTATATATTCCAGACTATACTGTTGTAGTTCAGAGGTGTAAATTGACCTTTTATTTCAGGGTGATACATGTGCCTATATATATAACAATGAGCCAGGTTGATTGGAAATCAACTTGGTCCTCTGTATAGACATCTCGGAGCTAATTCTGATGGTGCGGCTTGGTTCCTGATCTGCACCAGCCTCATATCACAACATATACGTATACGGAGGCTTTCCTACCTGAGGTGTAAAAACCAACACATGAAGTCTGAAACATGATAGATCCTTTTGAATTTGCGGGACCCTCCCCACATATCTATCACGCTTCTTCCGATGTGCAAAAAGGTTACTGGCACCAGGGTCGCATCTGTTGCTGGCAAATTGATCATTGTCTGAATTTGTCAGTTGACCACACCATGTATTCCACCTCAGACAAACGAAGAGCTAAAGAATGGTGGCGTTGAAAGGAGATCATTGTTGGCTATAGTGCATAGACAGGGGTTTTTAGAATGTTCCGATTGCGCCTAGTCTAGCTGTGCGTACGAGATCCTCCATGGGCTGTTTTGTGGCCCCTGGGGCTTTAAAACTCCCAGGGCCATACATGCTGTAACAACTCACTATCATACTGCACTGAAATCAATCAGTGGGGGACGGGTTTTCTTTCAGATCGAACATGATTCGTGTCACTATTTTGTGCTTCGACGTGCTCGGTCGTTCGCTCGATTGTTCGCCCTCTTCGCCCTCCAATTGGTTGTCCGGTCAGGCGCTGCCCCTTCACTGCCCCCAGAAGGAAACGAGAGACTTACGCTCTATGAGCTGGGTCTTTAGTCATGTTTAATTGGCTTTGATATTCATCAAATGATAAAGTGTCGGGCAACGCGAATATTCCATCAGACTTGTGCGTTATCTGTGGCTTTACCCGCATCTATGGCAGATAGATACTCACAGAGATATCCAAAAACAATATAGAAAGGTTATTTCACTGTGTGGACTCGAATCTCAAAGGTCTTCTAGAGAGGAAAGGGAAAGCGTACCATGCTTCCATGCTACTCAACGGCTTGTGTACCACAGCTTGCTCCGCCGAAGATCACATGCATACCCCCAAATCTCGCCGCACGATCCGGCTCAGGATTCTCCTTCAACAGATCAAGGACCGCCTGAAAATGGTATGTGGCCAGCTCGGGTTGCTTCATTTCGTTCCAGAACCAATGCCATGTTCCTGTTGACAGTTGTCAGAGATATACATGAAGCATGGAGAAATGATCTGCGCGGGACCCACATGGTGTATATGGGTTCCCTTGAACGCGAGGAAGCTACCTTTCTTTTGCTTCCTCGCGCTACGTCTTGTATCTAGAGTCGACCATAGCTTTCCTTAATATTGATTATTCATCTACGTATACGTGAGACCCTCATAACAGTCTTATCAATTCCTGGGACCCCAAGAGCAGTTCCTGGGGCTATAGCTTTACTTTTTCGGGAAAAGCGAATTACGCAGGTTTGTGCGCAGGTCCGGTGAAGGTGTCTTGTGAGGGCTTTCCGCGACCTCAGAGGGCAGAATATTGACTCTAGGATCCAGAAATAGGGTCCCAGGAGCGCGACAGCTCCCAGATCCAGCCAATGTGTTCCCAAAACCAGTTCGTATTCAGTCAGGATCGTATAGTGAAGATCGCAGGGGTAGAACTCGGTTTCCTGTAAACAGGAAATGGCTAAAGAGGAGTTCCCAGGGGATAAACATTTCCTAGAACTGCTTTTGGAGTTTTTAGGATATATGTGTTAGTTCCCAGAGTCATGTTAATCTGACTGTCGACTAATATAGATGGGCTGGTTTTGCTACGTCGTGAGGCGGTACGGATAGAATTGTCGACACTCCCTTGCCGACCCGCGAGCTGTGTTTTCTGCCTAAAATGTCCGCTTCGCGCTTCACAAGGCTCAGCTGAACTCGCTGTCGGCATTATTTTGGCCGCTGCCGTTAGGTATGATGTACAAACAACTTGTATCTACTGGCTCTCGGTTCGAGTTGAGATAGTTATACTTATCTCAGATTAGCAAAACTTCCAGTGGCATTTTTAGACTAATCAACATCTAGCACTTGCGAATATGAATCAGTGGCGAAGTTGTCTGTGGGGCTAACGATCAGGATCCCATTCATTTGGTTGTAGTTTGCTCCAAACTCCATATGTCTGTTGCTGGTCCGAATTCCAGCGTCTGGTCATGTGTGGCCACGTGTGATTGACAGATTTCCCATTTCCGTCGCGCGATTACTGCAAATCGCAATCACCCACGCTGAGTGGAATTCGGTCGTGCCGACCGGCGAAGCGGTGCAGAGGTAGACGGGTCTCGCGGTAGATGAGCCCCTGCCACTCTGGCTGAGCGACGGGGCCCACTCTGCTCGACTGGCACCCGTGGGGATCCCACTGATCGCTGAGGCGGCTGGCTCTGACGACGTTCGTTTGGTGCTGGCTCTCTATCGGTTGATGGCTCGCTTACCGAGGGGACTCGGAGTGGACGAATCAAGGCGTCCAGACTTCCTTCGTTTCGACTGCATTTATCAGCATCCCGACATTGCAGAACTGAGAGATTCATACTAACCACACACAGCATGACGTGCCAAAGCCTGCCTGTCGCTTTTCCAACCACTCTTCCGCGCAGGATAGATGGCAATGCGCTTGGCACCGATCGCAACGCAGGATCACGCACTCGTTTGCTTGTTCCTCGTCCTCGGCCAAACAAAACACACAGTGAATCTCGTCGACATCTTCACTCAAGCTGAGATTCTGCAGCGACAAGTCCTGGACACCGGCCCAGATATTAGTGACCGAGGTCAGGATAGCGGGTCGAGCCGCCGAAACGTGCCATGGTACACTGTTGGTCCGCAGCATTTCGGCAGTCACAAAGGGATCGATTGACTGCTCTGGCCCGGGGCTGGTTGGCAGAGGTACTGGCGGGCCTTGTCTGAGCCCGTGAGAGAGTGACCAGTCAGTGTGGTCTGATTCCGCCAGGCGTCTCCTTGAGGCTGACGACGTCTGACGCTGGCGCGGATGCACAGTGGATGGAGTGGCAACTCTAGAGTCATGAGGCACTCGCGCCTGGTTGCGGACGGCTGCTTCATACCACTGCTGGCCAACTTGTTCGGCCTGCCGTTGCCGGTGCCATCTCGCGCAGAGGAATTCTTTGGCAATAGCGCAGAGCTTGGGTTGCAAATTTGAAGTGTCGAACGGCTCTCTGGCGAGAATGTTCAACCTTCGGTGGCCTATCTTGGTGTCTTCAAGTTTGATCGAGTTTTTGCACAAAGCGCCTTTCTTCGTCATTCCGCAACAAGAGCCAGGACCGCCATTGGGGCTGACTTCTATCTCACAAACAACGAATGGATTCCAAGGCAGCGTGGTGGACATTGATGCGATCTTCAAGGCAGAAAATTTCTCGGATTGTTGGTGATGTTGGGCATTATCTGCGGCGTTCCCTCGCCAGCTTTATATGCCATCGCCATAGGCTTCTTACATACGTTGGTGCGTGGCTGCTGGCTGCTGGCTCCTGGCATGGGACGCCTTCGTTGAAAGAATGGATGTGTCGAAGCATGCATTCGGATGCAGTATGCGCCGGTATGCGACCGCTCAGTGGCCTGCGTCAAGGAATATCATTCCTGATCACAGCTACAATTAGCTGCACTTGTGGCTGTAGATTGCGACGATTATGCATTGGCACAAGCATTGGCTATTGTAGTTGGCGGTATCGTTTGGCAAAATTGGGAGTTGCCTCTATACATTTCGGAGTGCAGGTAGGTTGTGATTTGCTTCAACGCTTGTGGCGCTAGATGCGAGAAGTGGGTACCAAGATATATTCGGGCTCCAGGGGCCATTGACACGATACTAGGAATCGTTTTGGTGTTCCCAGGAGCTAGACTCCGGAGATTCTCTAACCCAGCGTAGACGTTGTCCATGCTTTGATGCTGCCCCATTATTTTGCAATAGTATTAAAAAATACTGTACTAATTCTCACTTTCACCATAAAAGTCAATTAGCGTAGTCAGCTTTTCAATTTCAGCACTTTGCATTTTTGGCCAAATGGCGTAGAGGTCAAACTCAAGCATCCATGGAGTGTCACATATGATCCACGCGACCGACGTGCTGTTTTCGGGAGCTTTCTAAGGCATTCCCAGGAGCTATTCAATGAAAGTTACACCAGAGGATTCGTGACCAACATATAAAGGTCAACCGCTTCGCCAGACAGGCCAGATTAAAAGTTCATCGAATCCACAATTGCCGCCTTTTCGTTGCCTTCAATATCCACAACTCTTGAGCATTCAGCTTTGCTCTAATCTGTTACAATAACGGCTTCACTCCAATCTAGGAATTCCGCCCTATCTTTTGATTTGAAGAAACAAACAATGGGCCAATACTGGCTGGTGGTTTCTCCGTCCAAACGCGAGTACACAACACAGGATTTTGGTGGAAAGCTGTCAGAGATGCATTTCTCGTCGTGGGTTAACATTCTGTGTGACCTGATTGAATCCGAGTGGGCTGGCACCCGGCTCATCTGTATTGGGAATTACTTAAATCCAGACGATCTCCCGGCCACGATTCAACAAGACAACCTACACCTGGTTTGCGCTGAGAGCGATGTACCATCAAAGCCTCTCAACTACGACGTCGTGCAGGAGAAGTTTGAACAGTGGTCTTACGAAGACGAGGAAGCAGCGACTCTCGCTGCCATGAAAGAATCTATCAATCGCAAAAATCGAGTCCTGAGAAACTTGACTACCAGTCAATATGTGTTAGAGAACAAGTTGCAATGTGGAATCACCCTTGGTCACATTGTTCTGATGCGTATCTGTTGGTCGTTTGATAGTTCGACTGGCATTCCGGGAGGAGAATATCTGGCCAAGGGTGACTGGGTTGGTCATGAGTTCGACATTGTAGACGCTGGTAAGCTAGCAGATATGAACGGAGAATGGGAAGATGTCACCGAGGACACCCGCGATGAGGTTCAGGATCTGTGGTCGGGCGATTTCGGACAAGATTGGGAAGCTGAATGGAGAGCTTGATACCACATGGGCAAGAAGCTATGAAATCATTTGCTGTAAAGATCATTTGATGTAAAGAATGCTATATCCATGGGTTTGCTGATGAAAACCCGTGGAATTGATATCTCATGAGGCAGTGAAATGTCCCAGCAATACATTGTGTTCCATAGCTGATACTCAACGTCTCATATTCGAAGTCGACACCATCTGAAGCCATCGATACGGGCCGTAGTATGAACCTAGGTTCAACTACGCGGGATTTCATTCGCGACTTCGTGCATGATTCTATAAAATGCGACCACCGCTCCCAGAAATGTACAACCTCTTTTCAGGAACGCGGTGGCCAACTAAGTTCAGACTTCATTCCTCAGGCACGTAATAGGGACCCAGCAAGATGAATTGCTTCACCACTGCTTTCTCAAACATCCATATATTGCACTATTCCTATATGGTCACAGGTACCCCCTCGAGAATACATCTCTTCACCAGCAGAATACACCACGAATCTCACATTACCCCGAACAAATGTGAATTTGATTCCCTGGTCATGGCCTGGAATCCTTCCCACCTACAACGGGTATTGGGCCAAGTTTTCACCGTGAGCGGTGCATATGGGTGGTAGCTGACGGAAATCACTGCCCAAACACCGTTCCGATTGACTTTCGGATAAACGAAGTATTGTGCTTTCAGTTGTTCCAGGGCCCTTCTTTCGGGTATCCACCAGCGCAGAGGTTATCCTTGGCTGCAAAACAATTGTTTTGTTTTGAGTGCAGACGCCATAGTCGTCGACCAAAAAAAGTGGGCCCACCGAATTTTGCGTTTGTTGGATGCGAGTCTGCATCAAGCCAAAAAACTTCATGATTCAATCGGAAACTCAGGATTCGGCTGCTGTGGTGCATCCATGGCCAAGTAGTATGTTCTACAGCGTTGCTGTGGCCATGTGTCCCGATGAGGCCTCAAAAATCAGAAGAGACTGTCCAAAGGGGCAAATCTAGCGACAAACTCCCGAGTGCACTTAGGTTGGCGAGAGCCGTCGCAATCAGTCGTTCGAATCTTCTCAGACGACAAACCGCTGCAGTTGGGCTGTATCGATGACATGCCTCCAGTGGCGACCATATTGTTCATTGATATAGAAAGTTGATACTCGTGCATGGCATATGGTCACTTACGTTCTCTCGCAACTGTCGCATGTTTTGCACGAAAGTGGCCACCCGAAGACTCTCGTTCTGTCATAACAGAGTCGCCTAGCTCGTTGCTCTTGTCGCAGGCTCTGGAACTGAAGATCAGTTTAGTTTGAGTCTGCCCTGGGAGCCCTTTCGTGGCGAATTGAAAACCGATCGAGATCTCTGTTGTCTCCTTCTTGTGACATACTATCTTCGTTGGCGGACACCTCTGGGGACGGGGCGGCTGATCGTCGTGTGCGTTCCGAATCAGAAGAGGCGGCAGATGGATCTGGGAGAAATTCTGATTGGCTGGGAAACAAGTCTTGGATTTGATGTTTAAGCTGCCGCTTCAGCCTTTGAAAACGAGAAAATAAAATTTTGAGATATCTCCACATTTCTTTGCGCTTTTGGTATATAGAAGACTGGAGGAATGGTAGTTAAAGGAGATCGGTAGAATTGTTAGGTAACTATTATCTTCGAATAATCATGCGGAACGGGATTAAAGAACATAAGTCCGGTCAAACAGTTTCAGCGCTGTCGCCAGGGAAAAGCATGGGTAGTGGTCTGTAAGAGTGAGCGATAGTCACTACTTCAACATCTGTTGCTATGGGGAAATATTCAGAGCGGAAAGATCTCATATCTACATTACCACCTTTTGGATAGATCGCAGTCAATAACTTCACCTCCAACTTCAACGAACTCTACTTGACGTATTGCATTCAATGCATCAAAGTTACACATGTGAACTAGTGAACCACTGTTATGAGGTTTTTTCTGCAAGTCTTTGTTTCCAGGCCTCATCTGCTGCTCATTTCCTCAATTGCAACTCGCAGTGAGCAACAGGTGAGATCGAGCGTCAACGATTGAGGTAATCGTTCACTGACTCTTTTAAAGGCGGTCGAACTCAGGCCGGATGTTCATGGGTGGCAATGACAGCAGCCTCAGTGTGACGGACGGGTATAAAAACCCTCGAGTACGATGTCTCTTGCATTCCATTCCCCAAAGACCACGATGGACAGTCCTACTTCCCTTTCCACATGTGACCGGCCGGCTAAGAGACAGTACCAGGTTTCCCACGACCCTAAAGATGAGAACAAGTTGCAAAACCATCCACAGCAATCTGCAAACGGCACAATCATTGAACCCGATGTCGGTCATATTCTCTTCGGTGACAAAAGTACAAGATCACTAACACTACATAGGTTCCAGTGCATACACGCGGTTCCTTACGGCGGAGTTCATGAAACTTCTACACTACAACGACACCCTGGGTACACCAGCCCTCAAACTTCTGGACCTGTACTTTTGCCTGTGGGGATGCTACGTCGTCAAATCTGCCGAGAAGATGCGACTCGAGGAAGAGCAGCGACAGCTTCAAGAGTCAAATGAGTGGCTAGTAAGCGACAGCGACATCCTTCTACAGCTCTTCGATGAGCAGGCATTGATACTGTCTGATCAAAAGCGAGCAGTTCAAGCCCTTTGTAATGGCGTGGTTTCATCATTGCAAGCGAGCGAGACTCAAGCCTGCCGTGCTGATAGGCATTGATTAAGTCTCATTGTTGTTCAGCGCTCGTGGGCGACAATGACACCTGCATAGCTCTGCTATCTATTTACCCTCTGTCCTGAATATCATCCCTGTTTTAACGGCCCAAACAACCACCGGTGAAGTTCCATTGGGTTTGGTGACGGGGTGTCAACGTTTCACGGCTGTTGATAGACCAAGCGTTTGGTTTTCAACAAGTTAGCATCTGGCCATCAAGTCCTCCTAATTTCCGATAAACTTGCGTGATCAAATAAATAAATAATCTGCCTACCCTGCGGCATTCTGCTGCTCCTAGCCCTTGCCAAATTGTTACTTTCTACACTCAGGTATTTTCCCACCCACCTTTGACGGCGAGCCTTGAACCAAAATGCACGAATCAAACAAAAATGGTCTGTACCCGTTGCTTCAATGGTTGTTTTGTGCTAATGTTGGCAGACTGTGATTTGGAACTCGACCTCCACGCCATCTGGCATGAGTACTCTGGCATACCGACACCACCTCCCTGTCTCGTCACCGAATCCGACAATTCTCGGCAGATTTTCTCGGATGCGGGTGAGCCTTCAGGATATGAGACTTCAGGGTCTTCCTTGATCGAATGCCTTTTTCATCCCACTTACGACAAGCTGTCAGCCTTCAAGTGGACTGGTCCAGACCCTCTTTCCATGTCTACCCAGGCTAGCGAGCTGTTCCTCTACGTGTCAGCTTTCGCTTTCCCTAACGAAGTGCATTGGGTAGAGTTCCGACTAGCCCGCTTTGACCGGAAATCTGGCGAGAGTACAAGAGAGCATCTGTTCTTCCTGCCCCGATTTGAGACGACCACGTGGAATCTCCGTCGGGTACGCGGACACTTGCTAGACACGATCGCCCGGTCTGAGTTTGGTGCAATAGGCACTAGCTTCCGACTGTCCTTTTGGCCTCGCATGGAACCCCTACCACATCCCACTCACTTGACACTACCTTCGCTAGTTGCGCTACCCAGGAAGGTATCCCTTGATCCAAGGTCTTTTGTGGATAACATACTGGGTAATTACAAGTGAGATTGGCCCATAAAATGCGTTGTTATCCAACATTTTTCAGTGGCATAAATCAATTGGGAGGCTATTCCATACACGAAGTTTTGCATACTTAGAAATAGAAGATGCTTTCCAAGCAGTAGTTGTACTTGATTTGAAAAGTCAACTATAGTATTTCTATGCTGAAATAGGGGCCATCGCCTCGAATAGACAGTCCTTCACCCTTTTCTTGCGTCGTTCGAGGACCTTGCGAGACTGAGCCTGGAAGGGTGGTTCCAGTCATCAAGTACGCTAGTCAGTCGTTCTCGAGACGAATTCAGTGCCTGCTCAAAAAAGCGCAGCCGGGACAGTTGTTTGTCGTGGCGAGCCTGAAGACCATCTCTCTCTTTTCTCAGGTGCGCGCCGGCTTCCTTCAAATCCAGGTTATCCTGCTCTAGCTTCTGGCCGTCGATGTGCTTGGACACGCACGACTCCCATAGGCGTCGATAGAGTCCGACAAGTTGAGCTGCTGGAAAGGCGAACTTGGGATCGTCGCGCTCGAGGTCTGCCACCACCTTCAAGATCGGTTGAAAGGGCTCGGTCGCCAGGGTGTGTCTTGTTTCTGCTTCCTGCTGCGAGGCGGAGGACTGCAATGGTCAGCAAAAGCGTTTGAAGCCGAATCGTTTCACTTACCATGTCGGAATTTTCCTGTGATTTGTCTTTCTCATCACGGATGGGCAATTCACTGGGCTGCTGATCTCCTTCTTTTTCTTGGTGTGATGAGCTGTTCGGGGCATCCATTTTGTCCGCAGAAGAAAGTAACGGGTCTGGTTAATACAATTTCATCGATCCTTAGTGTCTCTTGTGGACTGCGCAGACCCAGGCGACTATGTAGTGGATTTTACGATTACCACAACTGTTTATCGATGCAGTCAAATTTTGATAAAAAGTTTGTTACTTTTCGGCGGGCTGTTGACAGTATATTCAACGATAGGATAGTCGGGTGGGGAAACTGATCAAACCTCATGATGTTAAGGGCCAGAGATGAACGCCTCCCTGGTGTGGATATGTATTTCAATCAGAAACCTCTTTCCCTTTCGTTGAACGCCTCGGAAATCCGACAAATCGAATATTGTAGGACTTACCGTCATTAAACAAAGGATTTCAAAAGATAAAATTTTTTTTTTTCTCAATGTATTTTCATGGTCACAAGTACGAAAATTGAGTGTTGACAACGTTGGGCTAAGCTTCAACGGGTTGACGGACCGAGCACATCCTACATTGCGCTCGCTTTCCGCAGTCTGGTCGGACAGACTCACAGCTCAGCACAACCAACAACACACTAAAGCGAGGTTAAGGGAAATTTTTTCATACTTCCCGGGATGAAATTTTAGGCGCTTTTCGGTGATTCAACGTTGAGTCACCCACAGGTGAGGTATCAGACCAAGCAATATGAGCCTGTCATTGCGCATTAAATGTACTCAGTGCCTCAATTTAAGAGGGCAGTGAAGGATTCAACGGTCAGCCAACGCTTCTTGATCAACTCAGCATGCTGATGCTCAACACGACTCTTTCTCGTCGCTCTCACTGAGCATCTAAAGGCATCAGAAACGTCGCTGCAAATATCTGCGGTAGAAAGAAGAAATGGGTTTCAACAGGCCTCAATTAAGAGAGTTGTCCCTCAACGCATTTACCAAGCAGAGCACTCACGCAACAGAAGAAGCCGAGTAGACTATAAATATGACCTCTATCTTCACTTGTCCATATAGATGCTGAGTTGGGGACACCCGGATCCATCCGAAGCAACGGAAGTATCCGATAGCAGCATTGGAAAGCTAGGACTAATAATGACCGCGACAGAACCCGGGGTACTGGCACAAATCATCTTCTTTTCATTTCGAATCAGATTCAATGCTGCTTCGACTGTGTATACGCCCCCCCTCCAGGCCCAGCCAGGCTTGCCAGAGCCTACGCATCTCTTGCAACGTCAAAAGCCCAACTGAGCCGACTGGAACCAAACCATGTCGTTGACTTGAGTCGATTTCAGAAAAAAGTGGCAGAGGTTCGCAGAAGGTATTGCATAATGCCCCAAATATCTTGCTCTTTGCTGACCTCCACAGGTTAAATCGGCCTCTAGCATACTCCGAGAAAGTTTTGTACAGCCACCTCGACGATGACTTCGATGGACCCATCACTCGTGGAAGCTCGCAACTGAAGCTTCTACCAATTCGCATCGCTTGCCAAGATGCAACTGCCCAAATGGCCCTCATCCAGTTCATGTCCGCGGGTCTCGAGTCATCTGCCGTTCCGACCACCGTGCATTGTGACCATCTGATCGTCAGTCGAGATGGCGAAGCGCAGGATTTACCGCGCGCAATCGAGGCCCATCGTGAAGTTTACGAGTTTATGGAGAGTGCTTGTCAGAAGTACAACATGGGTTTCTGGAAGCCAGGCGCCGGTATCATTCATCAGATTGTCTTGGAAAACTATGCGTTCCCCGGTGGAATGATGGTTGGTACAGACTCACATACCCCCAACGCTGGCGGTATGGGTATGATCGCTATTGGTGTCGGCGGCGCTGATGCAGTCGACGTGATGGCCGGATTACCACTCGAGTTGACCGCGCCTAAAGTGCTAGGTGTGCGCCTCACTGGTCAGCTATCCCCGTGGGCGGCGCCTAAAGATATCATCAGTACCGTTGCCGGAATGATCTCCGTGAAAGGTGGAACTGGATCAATTATTGAATACTTTGGACCCGGTGTGCAGAGTCTATCTGCTACAGGTATGGCGACGGTCTGCAACATGGGAGCCGAAACAGGCGCAACCACTTCTATATTCCCTTACACTCCTCAGATGTCATCATATCTGCATGCAAACCGTCGAGATTATATGGCTAAGGCTGTGGAAAGTGTTTCCTCGGAACTCTGTGCGGACGAAGGAGTGGAATACGACAATATCATCGAGATCGATCTGTCCACCCTTGAGCCGCGAATCAATGGCCCATTCACGCCCGATTTCTCTACGCCTGTTTCGGAGTTCAAGTCAGCCGTCAAAAGCAACGAATGGCCACCTGAATTGACTGCAGGTCTGATCGGATCCTGCACAAATTCTTCCTTCGAAGATATGGGACGGGCTGCCAGTCTGGCGCAACAAGCTCTTGACGCAGGATTGAAGCCACAGATGCCATTGCTCATTTCTCCTGGCAGCTTACAAACTCGTGACACACTGAAGGAAGCCGGCATTCTTCAGGTCTTTGAGAAGTTGGGAGCTACCATGTTGCCCAATGCGTGTGGACCATGCTGCGGCTCCTGGGATAGAGCTGACGTACCAAAGGTTGGACCTCCTTTGCACCAATTAACATGGCTTTGATTAACGCAGAAATACAGGGAACTCCAAACTCAATCATCACCTCATACAACCGCAACTTCTCCGGTCGTCTGGATTCCAACCCCGCCACAAATATCTTCCTTACTTCCCCAGAGATGGTGATGAGTAAGATCTTCTCCCCAGATCTCTCATTCAACCCTACTGTTGATTCTCTCACAACTCCCTCCGGTGAGGAATTCACATTCTCGCCACCAACCGCCCAAGCTCTTCCAAGCAAGGGCTATCTGGATTCCGACACCGGGTACACCGCACCACCGAACGGAGATCGCAGCGAGCTCGAAGTTCAGATTGATCCATCATCGCTGCGCTTACAGCGATTGGAGCCTTTTGACCCATGGACAGGTGAGGACTTCAACGATTGTCTGATCCTGATCAAGACCAAGGGCAAATGTACCACAGACCATATCACTCCTGCCGGTCCTTGGTTCCGCTACCGCGGCCATCTCGAGAAAATCTCCAACAACACATTGATCGGAGCGGTCAATGCCGAGACGGACGCTGTGAATACTGTCCAGAACCAACTCACAAATGAGAACGGCGATGTACCAGGCACAGCCCGCGACTACAAGTCCAAGGGCCGCCCGTGGGTGGTGATTGCCGACCACAACTATGGCGAGGGCTCTTCCCGAGAACACGCAGCTTTGCAACCTCGATACCTAGGAGGAGTTGCCATCATTGCTAAGAGCTTTGCTCGTATCCACGAAGCGAATCTCAAGAAACAGGGCATGCTCGCTTTGACTTTTGCAAACGAGGCTGACTATGATCGGATCCATGCGTCGGATCGCATCAGCATCGTCGATCTCGTAAACCTGGCTCCTGGAAAATCAGTATCTTTGGAGGTGAAGCCCTCGACAGGGGAGAGCTGGCGCACTGAGCTTTTGCACACATTCACAGCGGAGCAGATTGAATACTTCAGCGAGGGAAGTGCCTTGAATTTGATGGCTAAGAAACGCCATGAATAGTGCACTTACTGTGTCTTGTTGTTCTTCCATTGCTTCTGCTCTACTTGTAACCTTAACTGCACATTCGGTTGTTCTTCGCTTCTTCTTTCTCTTCTTCTTGTCTTCTTCGTCGACTTGACAAGGTTTAGCATCCCTCGCTCGCCTGAAATATCTCTTAACGATAATCAAACAGCGACCTGTTTTATAGAGACCACTTGCAGTGTCCATACTTCCCAATTGCTGATAAATCCATCTAAAATGATTTTGCATAACCCTAATTTCAAATACCAGGAGTAGCAAATCAGTAGCACACCCACCTTAGTACTCACATGGACATATTAGATTTCAACATGTGCTCCAAGGCTGAATTTCCCGCACTCTGGCGGCTGGGCATTACTTTGTATGCAAAGCTAGTAGGGAAGGTGCAGGAAAAGCATGTTTGCCAGCTCCAGATACCTTTGTAGAAAATCAACCTTAACTTTGTTCCATACTACTGGCTCTTTCCACCTTGTCGCTCAGCCCAGACACCTTCCAAAAGACTTGGGCTGTATTTGGAGGCTGCTGTCTCTGGAATGTCGGGGCCTCGGGGCCCCGGGGGGGCAATATTGCTTTGTCAGCTGGATCTGGCGCCCAGCCGCCCGCGCCAGGACCTGCACTCTCCAATCTACTCGCCGCTTGGCTTTGACCTTGTCCGTGCTGACATCGTCGGAGTATGATCTATGCTACATCAAACAATAAGTGGAAATGACTCAGCGGTCTGCGAGCCCGGAGTCAACTCCTCGTCGGCATCGCCGGGGTTTAACGCGTAGTGCCGCGGCCTGTGAGAGATGCCGACGTCGGAAACAGAAGGTAACCCCTTCACTAGCTCAACAAGACTGCACATGTCTAACAATAAAATACTCAGTGTGATGGAAGAGTTCCATGTGGAGCTTGTGCTGCTACGAGGACCACCTGTGTTCCTTCAACTCGGCTCGCGCAACCTCACGAATGCGAATGCGAATCGCTTCGTTCGAGGCTACAAATTGCCGAGCAACAGTATGCTGCATTGTTGCGTGATCATGAAAATCTGCAAATATCAGCTCAGGGAGTAGTGCATGCGGAGAGTTTGCCACAGTCGGTTCCCGCCACCGGCTCACAGGGCGTCCCTTGCGACATGGGGATCCCACAAATCTCACAGGCCAATTTGAACCACCATCCTTTGCATAGGATTCTTCGGCCAAGCTTCCCACGCCGTACCAGTGGCGGGAAGTCTCATTCGAGTGCAATGAGTAGTGCCTGGAAGTTATGGGGAGATGACCCTGATACGGCTGCTTCCTGTGACATGGAAAGCTTCACTGAGCCAGACGAGACCACTTACATTAGCTTGGTTAATACTTTCTTTGATCGAAGATGGACCTACTTGCCAGTGCTCCATCGACCAAGCTTTGTGAGCGAACATCTGACGCCGTTCCTCGCGCGCTCGCCTACAAAAGTGACTTCAAATTTCCTCGTCAACATTGTGTGTGCGATTGCCGCCACAGACAAGGCATGGGCTCAGCAATGGGATCTCCAACGCCACAAGCAGTTTTTTAGACGGGCTATTCAAGACGTTTACGTGCTGAGTAGCATTGAAGATTTTGAGTGCATGCAGTGCTTTCTACTTCTCTGCATGTATGGTCATAACGAACCGCAATCCGTCAATATGTGGTACACTTCTGGGATTACCCTGCAGATGGCTATAGACCTGGACCTACACAGAAAAGAAAGCATTTCGGGCCAAAGTCTTCTTCGCGCCGAACTGTCCAAGAGGGTCTTCTGGAGTGCCTACGTGACTCACTGCAGCATGGCAATCAACATGGGAAGACCTCTCGCAATACAGGAATCCGACATAACTGTACCGCTGCCTCTACAGTTAAGAGATGAACAATTGACAGATTCATTTGACGTTCCCGATGTGAACGAACTTGCGGTCCCTCAGTTGATGGACACCTCCACATTCAATCATATTATCAAGCTGCGACTCACGAATGCCGCAGTCTACAAAACCTTCCACTCCATACGATGCGGTCCAATGGGATCAGTGGAGCTGGACACAACCCGCCAAGCGTATTATCTTAGCCTGAACCAATGGCTCATCAGTGCACCACGCTACATCGGCGCGGTTTCAACATACCAATCAACCGAGTGGTTCCAAATCGCTTTCCACCATGCCGTTCTCTCTCTATACCGCCCATCTCGTGCGGCACCGATGCCATCCTCTGACGACCTTCGAATTTGCACCGAGTCTGCCATTGGACTGATCACATCTTATAGCTCTCTCTACGCAAGAAACCGGATCAAATACACTTTTGTGGCGATCCACTCACTTTTCTTGGCTGCTGTGACGATGCTTTACGCTTTGCGTGCATCCCAGCAACTACGCCAAGAGCTGACCAAGCCAGTCGTCGAAACCAATATCCTCACTTTCCTGACCCTGTTCCGAGGCATCTCCGACGGTCGCACAATCGGCGAAAAGTGCTCTGGCATTGTCGAGCGATTGGCTAACTCGCTTTTGACACTCTTCGACGTTGGCCCAATCCCTGACGCCGATGTCGACGTGGAATTTCAGTCATGGTTTGGTCTGCAGACTCATGCAGTTGTCACACCAGCCAGGAATGAAGAGCTCGCTGGTGAATTCCCCGATGTCAGAGTCGATCTACCCTGGGCGGACCTTTTTACAGAAGGATTCGACATGGGGGCTGCTGATCTTTGGAGTTATTCATTCTTGGAATGACAATGTTTGTTCCACCCCTTGCCCCGGCTATATGCATGCCCACCAACCAGGCTCACAACGAGTATTTGATTATCTGTCGAAAGGAGGTGACGGGGAAAAAAGCACGATCATCTCGTTGAATTTGTATAACATGTACTACTATCTAATGAAAAAGGCGCTTTGGGTTTTGTCTCAACATCTTGTCCCAAACTTCATCGTCGACCCAATCGTGCATGTTCGCCAATATCCCACGATCATCAATCAATCTAAATGGTTCCTTGATGAGAACAGTGCTGGCCGTTCGATTGTGGCCGTCTCCGGTATGCGGCCAGTCACTGCCCCAAATAAGCTGGTTAGGAGCCTCATGAGCGAAGTGTTCGATAATTGGCCGTGTGTCTGCGAGGTTTGTGGAATTGTCGTTAGACATCCTGTAAAGTCCAGACACTTTGATCACAACGCGGGAAGCCTGAGCAAGAGAAACGAGAGACTTCAGTCCCGGCTGCTCCAATGGTGTTGATTTGAGTGCCTCTGGCAGTTTCGATGACGCGGACATTCCCCCCAAATGATCAGCGACCACGGGGACGGGAAGAGCAAGGATAGGCTCATGCAATGCTATAGAGGTTCAGCACAGTCATCAAGAAGAGAGCAGTGTATACTAACCGTCCCATGTCCAACCAGGCACAAACATCTGGATTTTCCAACCAGGTAGATGCTGAATGCGTCGTGCCGATTCGTTCAGAATCGCGATCAGGCTCGGTATATGGATGCCTTTATCATCCGCCTGAAAGTTCAGTCTGATACCTCGGACGCCGAGGCCATGCATCTCTTCCAGCATCTGGTCAGTCACAGTGTTGACGTCGATAACGGCAATCCCTCGGGCCATTTTCCCCTGCTTAGCTAGGTCACCCAGAGACTTCAGCATCACCGTACAATCTGTCTTGTAGGGGGAAGGCTGGACCAAAACAAGGGTGCTCGATTCATTGTCAGCGGACAAACTCCTGCTGAAGGAAAGAAGTTCGCTCAAGGGTGCGTCGCCGGGGGTGTATGCTCGGCGCGCTGCGTATGGGCCCAGTCTTGGGTCAAAGACATGTACGTGGGTGTCGAAGGTGCCCCTGGGTAGAAGACCGACATCATGCGAATCGTCAAGATCCGTGCCCGCCAATATGCCACAGCTAGGAGTAACAGGGTTCATTGCAGCGATCGCTAGGGGTTTATCTGAGTGAGTTCGATTTTTGTATATAGAACAGCACGCTGGGAAATATCACATACCGACTTGAATATGAACGGAAGCTAGAAGAGATCTTACCCAGCGCATTTCAGAATTTCAGAATTTCAGGTTATGCCAAGTCCATCACCCCGGGATCTCTGCTGTGGGCCATCTCATCTTTTTACACTTCGTCGCTGTGGGGTCATCGGATGAGCCGACCCCACAAATCCTCCGTCGGGTGTATCCGGTCAATTGGGTCATCTCGATTCAAGAACAAAATAGCAGTATATTTCTCGGACTCGGCAAATTGGGTCAAGTTATTCTTGCAACAGTCTTCAACAATGGAATCGAAACCTCTCGTGCCAAGTCCTTCTCGAAAGACACAAGATGTCCCTGAGCAGAGGAGATCTATTCCATTTAGAAATCTGGCAGTCGGATCTGTGATGAACATATTTCAAGGTATGCATGATTGAGCCAGACAGTTTTGACATTCAGGGCTTTAGCGCTGACTTATAACAAGTGACAACATTGGGTCAGCCCATGGAGGTTCTCAAGACCCACGTGAGTCAAACATCCTCTTGCATGGTGAAGGACTGGCCCTAAATGACGATATCCATGAATCTAGTTAGCGGCCAACAGACAAGACTCTCTTCGTAATGCAGTGCAGAAAACATGGGCCCGTGGAAAGGTCACTGCCTTCTACCAAGGTCTGATTCCCTGGGTAAGATTCGATTTGAACTTGCTCAGAACAAGAAAAATCACTAATGCAAAACACAGGCTTGGTTAGAAGCAACCACCAAAGGCGCAATTCTAGTCCTTACTTCCGGTGAGATTGAATATCACGCCAAAACCAAACTTGGAGCCTCTCCGACGGTTTGCGGTGTTCTCGGTGGTATTGGAGGAGGTATCGCCCAGTCTTACTTGACAATGGGCATGACGACATGTATGAAGACGGTTGAGGTCACCAGAACCAAAATAAGTTCCGAAGGTGGTCAAGTCCCCGGCTCCATGGAGACTTTTGTCAATATTTGCCGCGAAAAGGGCATTCGTGGTGTCAACAAGGGTGTCAACGCCGTGGCCCTTCGGCAAGTGACCGGATGGTCTTCTCGAATTGGAATCTCGAGGTTCGCGGAAGACAGTATCCGAAAGATCAGCGGCAAGCCCAGCGATGAAAAGTCGAAGGTTGGAGAGAAGATTTTGGCGTCGACGATTGGTGGAGCTCTTTCATGCTGGAATCAACCCTTCGAGGTATGAAATTGTTCTTTTCCTTGTTATGAAATTTGGAATAGGTTGACAGACTGGAATAGGTACTTCGCGTTGAGATGCAATCGATGAAAGCCAACCCGGACCGTCCGGCCTCTGCAACGATGGCGTCGATCTTCATGTACATTGTTCGTACATCTGGTGTTCGTGGTTTGTTCCGTGGTGTGGTGCCTCGTATTGGTGTTGCAGCTTGGGCAACTATCTGTATGGTGGGATTTGGTGACATTTTTAGAGAGAAAATCACCAGCTCCTAGTCTGTGAGTGGCAGACTGAGAAAAAAACCCCCAGAATGTTTTACCATAGAGACACTAAGCTAGCAAATGACAGAAAAAGTAGGAAGTGAAAGAGACAGGTTTTGAGGCTCTACCTTCCAACTCTTCACATCACATACTCCTGCTCTTGTCCCAATCAACATCGACCAATATTAATACTTCATTCCTTTGATTTCTGCTATTTTCACATCAACCTCTACTTCTTGAAGCGGCCAAAATTCCCCGCCTTCCACTTCTTCCTAGTCGGGCAACAAGCATTCGATCAGTGCCAACATTCAAACCGAGCAATTCTTCCTTCCACTGACCTGGCAGCCTTGATCCACCAGCTCCTTACCTGGGTGTCTGGGGAGGCCTAGTCTGGTGCTGGAAGAAACCGGTCAACTAACCTTCGCGGAGAAAGATCCTGTCCGAAAGATACTCCAGGATCCCCGGGAAGGCTTGCAGATCACTCTCGCCACAGAGGAAAGAGCTCGTCAAGACCCAGCGTTCCGTGATTTGCAGAGCATCACTCAGTGCCATTGCTTTTGCTGACCTGAAAAAAGGAGCTGTGAATGGAGCTTGAGAAGGACGTGTCTGGTAGTTGTTTTGCGCACCGCAGTGCTGCACGGCGAATCGCCCTTCACGCGTGCTGACTTCGCACCACTTCGAGAATGAAGCGAGGGACAGATTTGATATTTACCCCAAACTGAGTGGCCAACGACATGGTCCGGACGATCTTCCCCGACTCGCCGCCTCACATCATACGTGTGAATGCGGTCCATTATGTGTCTGATTTATGGAGGGAAATTCAATAAAGTCTACACCGTGTCAGGTGAGTCCCGAAGGCGGGCGCCTGTTCCCCTTCTGTATCAAACGGCCTGCAAACGGAGTCTCCGGTCTACATTACGGGAAATTCGACAGAGTCTGCTCAGTGCCGTTTCCGCCAGCCAGGCTGAGGAGCATTTCCAACTTGCCCAAGAGGTACGGAAATGGAATCATTCGTGATTTGAGTTATGGATTGCTCAACAAATTCCGCACCGTGTCGGATGTGCCAAGGAGAACGTTGTTCCCGCTCTGCGTCAGCAGGACAGAAAACGAGTCCAGAGATATGTGCAAACTTTTGCTAGGAAGGCCGAGAGCCGCGAATACGATTCACCAACACCGTTTCAGTATGATCAGACGTACTCCTCAACTACACTGAGCGCGTGAGCGAGAGTGAGGAGTTTCGCGCATGGGAAGAAGCGGTGATCTTCAAACACCATGCAATGGCAAATCAGCCCTGCTGCTTCATCAAGCTAAAGTGCAAGCCATCAAAGGATTGATCGCATCCTCTGCTGCGCTATATCAGTTGTTGCGAATTTTTTTGCTCCAAATCACCAATACTATTACTGATTTTTATGCCACTATAGGAGCAGCCATCGCCACTGTGAAAGATACCCGTTGAGAATCCTATCGCCGGATCGGAGATAAGACCACGTCACTACGACGCGTGATCCATCGCGTCTTCCGCCTCAACCTCACCGCCCTCACACCATGAACGGCGGAGTGTATGAACCTCTGCCGTCCCCATCGCGAGGTCTTATCCCATCACGATTGTACATTTTCCTGTCACAGGTGGTTCGTCTCACGCCTTTGGCTCTCAGAAGTTGCCCGGTGCACCCAGCGCGGCTTATTCGAAGCGACAGCCGGAGAGTGCGACGAATTGGAGACAACATCATGTCAAATGGCATGAATGGCAACTGCATTGATGAAGACAATTGTAAGTGATCTCGCCGGTAAGATAAAACCACGAAGCTAATTGATCGTTTCGTGTCAAGTGAACTTTCTGCGAACTTCATGAACAGGTAAATTACAAAATCTCGCCCAAATAGTGAGCCTTGCTGACTCGGACCGTACAACAGCGCCCCTTATATTCCCTTCACTCGAGTCGAATGCGAAGCTAGCAATTTTGTCTGCTCGAGCTCCCCTCCACCGATGCGATCGCATATTGTCTATCATTTCCACATAACTACTGCGGCATTGATGATGAGCCAACGTAAGGCCCAGATCGTCTCGGCCCTTCTCTCAGTCGACTCTGTATCAGTCATGTGCTAATGTGTCTACCCGATACAAGGCTCAGGCCACAATGGACCTGTACTACCGTGCCTCGGCATTCGAACACCGCGAAAGGAAAGCCTCCTTGTGGATCAAATTCCTGATGTCCAATGGGTGATCCTCATTATCCTCGATTCGAATCTCACGTCTTTTGCTGCCTGGCAGCTTGACAGGCACCGGAGTGAGTTCATGTTCCAGTCTGACTCATGGCGGACGAGTCCTACCTTCGCCGACGAGCAGGCTGTGGGTCTAAGTCTGCGTGCAAGGAGAGGGTGAGGCGGGACCCCATTTCGAGCCTACAGATGAACATTGGCCATATCAGGTATGAACCGATAAGCGGAGACGGTAGGGTGTCGAGTTATAACCGAGTCAAGCAGAGAGCACGAGCAAAGGGATGCCGTCCGATAGTTTCACCTGATCCTCCGCGTTGCTGAGCCGGTCGACGTATTTCAGCGGGTGGGGCTGACAAGCGGAAACGAACAAGTGAAAATGAATCAACCAGGCATGCACGACGCTGCATCAAGAGCACCATCAGAACTGTTGTGGTGTCTTTGGATATACGCTGGCTGGACCTGATGCCTAAGCACGCATTTTTCCTTACCCAAGCCGAGTAACAGATGCAAAGGCCATTCCCTTGAATGTCACTGCATCTGCAGGTTAGTCAACCCGAGCGCGTGTATGTCTCACTGAAATCATCTTCTGACATATCACGTGCAACGTTTTTCTCAGGGAATGACCCAGCTTTCTATGTCCCCTACCTCGACTGTCCTTGAGCATCAATTATTTGTCAGACACACCGCGCCTTGGACTGGTATATCACTGTTTGAGCTGATCCTTTGTAAAGGCGAGTTGAATGTCTGCACCACTTTACTCAGAGCCATCTTCTGTTGACTATGGATGACGGCCTACACTATCCTTGCCACTAATCTGTTCATTTAATTGCTTTCGGGAGGGTCAGGATCATTTTTGGTGCGGTTTAACCCAAGTAGATTGCATCGCAATGTCCGTCGTAATTGCTGGCCGAATCGTCTTTGCCAGATCTGGTCAAGATGGCGCTTGCTAGGCCGGATCGGGCTGCAACAATTTTCTCTGCGCAGCAGGGTATCCTTAATCGCATGAGCTCGGGTTCCACGCCCAAAAAGCAGTGGTCGCCAATTTGAGTGCGGTGTGGTTGCTACACGGGAGATGGGCTCGCACTTTGAATCGTAATCGCTGGCGGGGATTACTGACAAAGATGCGACGGCTCCCTTGTAGAAGCAGCCGATCGGAAATTTTCAAACCAAGCCCCTCAATTTATTTGCTGTCTCTATTGGCAATCCACTTCGATTCTCGCGACCGTCGTGGATATAGGCATTCTACAGCAGAATAGGAGTGAGTGACTTACAAGCCCCCTGACACGCTAAAATTAACTACGCGAGGAGCAGTCTATCGCATCACTATAATTATCTGAGCAAGAAAACGTATTTCGGGCGCTCCTCATTCAATGCTTCATCTACACCTGGTAGGTCTGATCGTGGGTGTTTTGCCTAATTATAGCTTCGCCGGGGGATATTGGGGTTTGCATTGGACCAGCTCAGTCGAACTGGAGGCAGTGCGCGAACTTGAATGGGTAAATGCCAGGGGACTATCGTAGCAAGTGATGTCTGTCATATGTAGACTTCCGGGCCGGCCCAAAGACCCAAGGCCCAACTCGACCTGGCCCCAACCCGCAGACAGGCTCTGGGCCTAAGGTAGAAGCACCCGGGGCTTTCTTGGGCCCCAATGGGCCGAAAACAATACAGATATGCCAATTCTTGGCATTTGCATAAAAAAGTGCGGACTTTTCCAGTATTAACTATCTGAGAAACGGACACTCGTTGTGAAGAATTAGCTAGCTTTCGGCATGAAATTGAATGCTGTAGGCCTACAAATGAATCGAACTGATGAAAGTGTCATACCTTAACAAGAAGATGCACCTGCTTGTTGGTATGTGAAATATATATATCCATGTGCTGACGCTTACTAATCCTTTAAATGCCAGAATAGTACAAAATCCTGGTCAAAGTAGATTTTTTCTTGGTAAATCCTATGCAATCGGGTCTATAGTGTAGCCTTTGTTTCTCATGACTTTTATTACCAGGTCATTGCCATTGAATCTTGATATCTTGCTTCTTGGAGTAGTTGAACCCCCGGATTGGGCCCGGGAGAACGTCGGGCCGTGATCTGGGCTGATAGACTAGAATATGCATTAAAACCAGACATTAATCAGCAGGGTGATGAGTGTCATTACCGTTGCTGTGTGCATAGGGATGTGCTTGGTTGGATTAAAGTGACCACTCAACTTCACCGCCTGGCCATATACCACAATACACATGTCAACATCCTCGTCCATACTATAGTCAACGCTCACCAATGTTCATCAACGCTCACCAATGTTCATCAACGCTCACCAATGTTCATCAACGCTCACCAATGTTCATCAACGCTCACCAATGTTCATCAACGCTCACCAATGTTCATCAACGCTCACCAATGTTCATCAACGCTCACCAATGTTCATCAACGCTCACCAATGTTCATCAACGCTCATCAACACTCATCAACACATTCGCGACGCACCCAAACACCCAAGTCTCTATTCGCTCTACGCTCTGACGCAGATATATTCTATTGCGGCGGGAAGACTAGTCAGCCGCAAAGCTTTATTACAGGAGGGTTGGGAATACGGCACTCGATAACGAAGGTTGAATCATGAAATTACGATTCTGATATTGGTTTGCCTCTATCTAGGGCTCATTTTATTTCTCCAATGACGATCATTCGAAATACAAAATACATCATCAAGATGGTGCGCAGGTCTTTGCTTCTTCGAGTACTCCTGATACTCGAATACTGGTCCCTAGCACCACGAAGAGGTGCCTACACGGGCTAGAGGGCTTCTTGTCGCAGATATCCCTGCGGAGACTCTTGGTGTCGCAGATGTCCCTGCGAGGCGCTTTGTTGACGCAGGACCTGGGCTGCGGAGAACTTGGTAATGCAGCGGTCTCCTGCAGAGAACTTGTTAACGCAGCGGTCTCCTGCGGGTCTCAATTGTCATCACAGCGCCCCCCTGCGAGGATCATTGTTGACGCAGGCCTATCCTGCGAAGCACACTTGATGACGCAGAGCCCGTCCTGCGACGCACAGTTGATAACGCAGAGCCTATCCTGCGAAGCACCTTTTTACACTCGCGGGGCTCATGGCAGCGAGGGAGCACAATCTTACATCGCTGGGCTCGTGGCAGCGACAGCCGTGGCCACGGAAGCTTTCAAGTCTGCAGGCAAAAGAGGGAATGACACAGCGGAGTGTGAGGACGGAAGTCCTGATTTCTTTGGGCTGGGAATCTGGACCCTTTATATCCTCTCGGCTACGTCTCGACCAAGGAACCAGTTGTGCAGTTGGTAGCGAGAATCACTGTCTTGTTATTGGCGTTGAAGACATTTGAACAACGTTGAAATGGTCTTGGGAGACTTTGTGGCCTACAGACTCAAGTTTCAACCTGGATTCGTTGCTTTCAAAACCTGCGCTGAGCGTGGTGAGCCATTATCATCACCTGTTGAGCAGAAAGTAACGCCGCAAAAATCTGATTCCTACATATCACTCAAGTTGCAATTGGATGCCTCAACGCGGTGGCAGATTACTTTGCCCGTTTTGACCATGGTCACTAGCCATGCTCACCATTTGTTTCATGAGGGTTGAAGTGCTTCAACAGGTGCCGCAGTAATGGGTTGCACAATGTGGCAGGCAGACAGTGACATTCGATTGTACCGGCTGTTGGCAATAGGACGTGCCTCGCATTGATCCTACTACAATTCTCTGCCTATTTCTAGTTTCGCGCTACTTGAACGGTACTTTTCTTTGTTGCTCGCAACCAACTGATGTTGCCTCCCCTAAAACTTCTGCTACCTGTCGGTGCAGACGCTATGAACATACTCCCAAATCCAGGGTATAAGTTGTTTTCCTTGACGGAGAATCGAAAGTGTATACTTTGTTGGAAATCTCAGAATATAAACCTAAGTCCAGTTTCCAGGACAATGAAGTGAGTTATTTCAGCTACCATGGCTCACGAGCTAGGTTCTCGTGATTGCCACCCACCTCCCGAGATTGCAACTCTACTATCACATTGATGGGGCTCTAGATACAAATAGCGCTCAACGGACCTATCAAACACCACGCCTGAATTTAGACAGACGCAGGTACGGCTTCACGATGCAAATCCCCGCGACGACCAACGAGACAATAGATCAAGGAGGTTCTATTTGTGGCCCGGAGAGGAAATTCAAAGGATTTGCAAGGGTACAGACACGACCCACAACCTAGTCTTGGCGGGGCCGTCAGAGTACAGATGGAACAGGTCTTTGTTGCTTGGGAAGTCGGTTGGGGCAGATAAGGTATTAGGAATATCACAGACTTTTTGCAGCGAGATCCTTCTACCGATATCTTGCATTTCCTTTTTTGTGTGCGATATCCGACCACCAGCGCTTCATAAATCTTTGAGTCCAGAATGATCACGTAGCGCAGCCCCGGATATATCATGAATTCTGTGATTAAGTCACTGGTGGGACAGGAGGCACTTCAGGTACGGTCCAACAGTGTCGCGTTGTCGTTTTTCTCATATCGCGGGTTTTCGAATGAATCGTTGACCAAACCCATCTGGTAAGATTCAGGTTTGAAATAGTTGATGTTTTGCGAAATTTTTGGCAGAAGATGAGAAGGATGAATCAAGTTGTAGATCATCACGGCAGGAACCATCATTGCGCCGTCGAGACCAATCAGCAGCTTCTCATTTCGCATCGTTGAGCTTGTCCACCCATGCAGCAGCTCAATTGTACGATAGACACTCCGAATGTAAATTAGCAGAAGGGCGAAGGCCGTCGCGGCCCCGAGGAGCAGCAAAGGTTTGTTTCGACGCACAGCCATTGGGCTCTGCTTGTAAACCCGCCAAGCGAAATCGGCGGCACACCCAACAAAAAAGGTGATGGAAACAAGCTGGAAAATGATACCCCCAACCATAATGTGGGTACCTGTTGTCTGGCTGCTGCTGCTGCTGCTGGAACTCTCTGTAGCCCGTGCCAATAATGATCTTGCGACTGAAGAAGCGCTCGCCGCTGCCGAACTTGACGATGAGGTTGCTGTTGAGCCACCCCCACCACCTCCAGACGAAGCCATGCCACCTCCGGCACCCTGAACTACCAGTGAAACAACATCACAGATACAGAAGATCCATACGTATAACTTCGGCGACATGAAGGAAGAGCTTGGTCCGAAGACCCCGACGAGCCGCGCAAGTATAATGTATATACCAGCCGTGAAAAAGGTCGGAGCTATAAGTTCAGATATCATCAGCTATCTATTTCCTGAAAGAGTCACTTGGAAGAGCACTTGCCGATGATTAAAGTCGTGATCTGCATCATGTAGGGGGTTTGGGCATAGGGACATATTGACGACCAGACCCGGGCTGCCCAGCCAAGAAGCTCAACTAGTACACATAATTAGGGAACGCTTGGTAGAAAAGAGTTTGTAACGAGTGATTCACATACCCAGGCATCCGATGGAAAAGACTGCGCACCACCAAGTGCGAAAAACAAACGTCTGGGCCATATGTGCTACCATCGACACACCGAAGAAAACAACAAATGCTACTGCGGCTGCCTTTGATGGTACATAACCATATGATGTGCTCATACCTGCAACATATGCATGACAAGTATCCTGGCTATAGCCTTCCATTATCAGTGGAGATATGGCAGTGGCTTAAGTCAAGCTTTAAGCAAAGACCTGGATTTTTCTCAGGTGTGATTCAAGGAACACAAGGTAGAAGGAACAAAGAGTTGACTAGATCAAGGGTGTGAAAAAAAAGAGTGAGATAAAAAGGAGGCAGTAGCGAATGGTGAATGTTTAAATAGCGATGTGAATAGAAAGCGTTCTTAATGTATTCGACACCAGGATCCAGGATCGGTCAGTATTCTCGAATTAGAAGCCACGCGTATGTGCGTCAGCCTCACATCTTGTATCTTGATATTACTCGTATGTACTCTTAGGTGCATGGTCTCGGCTCAAGATCTTACTACACTCAGATTTCAACCGTGGAAGCGGGAAAGGAAATGATCGCATCGGGTTTAGTCTACCGTACTCGGGTTCTCGCACAACGGAAATGTCGAAAGTAGTTAGTCACTTCGGAAGCCCCACTAAAGGCTGCCGCATTGAAGAACCAATAGGATAGTAGAGTGTCGCGTTCGTTGACTGAAGTGAGATGCTTTTCCATGATCCTTTTCTATTTTTGTCACTTCTCTTGCATGTGCTTTTATTGAGCTCTGATAAAAGCAACACAGGTGCCACCCTGACGCGTCAACATCTTTCCCATTACTTTCAACGCTCACTGGGGTTCGACGTTTTGCCTTCATTCGCCATGCTGGCAAACTATTTCTCATTGATTCTTGCGGCTTGGTTAGTGGTGTCCTGTGCTGCCCATCCTGCCGGACATGATGAACTTGGCCATTCCCAAGCCTTGAGTACGCGCCAGCATATTGGAAAGTCGAGTCACAAATTATCTCAATGCAGTGACTAGGGATCCGAAAGGAATATGATTATTCATGAATATTCATGAATATTTGCGAATATGAATAATATGAATTGAATAATATGAATATGAATAAGCCCTTTATTCATATTCGCAATATTCATGAATATATGATTAATTCATATTTATTCATATAATAAAATACCATACATTACCATTCGTTTCATTACATTCGAATACATCAATCATGCTCAGACACTTTATTCCATAGCGAATTATGTACCTGTCTTTAATATCGAAGCACTGAAAATTACATGCATGCACCACTGGAGATTTATGTCTGAGACTTTCCTCTCAATAGCATCAGCCATCGCATAGTCTCCGAGTTCAGACGGTGCCTTCGGAGGCCCAAGACATCTCGAGCATTGCTGAACTCGCGTTCAATCCCGACCTCTGCCGAAGGGATGGGTAGGTAATCGCGAGCGGCTTTTGCCATGAGTGGAAAATTAAAGGCGTTTGCCTTCCACCACTTTAGGACCCATTCTGCGTCCGCATCGCCGATCATGTGGTGGGACCAGTTGACCGGCGGGGAATCCAAGTACTTATCAATATCCGACAAAGAGGCTTCTTTGGATGGCTGGACTTTGCGCAGAGTTCTCCACATTGTTTCCGACATCCCCGCTGGACGTGGATGGTCAACTTCACACGACACAAATGGCTCTGGCGGGTATTCTTTCTTAAGAAATTCCCGCACTTGCGAGACAATAAGCCCCGAATCTTGCTCGCTCATTTGAGACACAATCAGAGACGTTTTGATGCGCGGATCCAACACGGAAGCCACATAGTAAAGAAGGTTGTCGTCCATTTTTCTAGCAAACTTGTTCATCTTCCGAATGCCTCTTTCCACCGCACCGCGTATTTCAATGTTGACGTCTTCAAAATCTCCCTCCGCATTTCGAACGTCATTTAACAAATCGTCCAAGCTCCAGTAAATTGGTAGACTTTCCACAATTGTCGGACATGCCTTTGAAACGGAGTTCGTGTGGTCCCAGAACGGCTTGAGGATCTTGGCCACTTGCTGAAGTGTCGACCACTCGTCATCGGTAAGCTGGAGGGCCTGAAGTTCTGGATGTATCCGCACAAACTGCCCCAGCTCAGTTTGTAGCCGAAGGGCATCTTGAATCATGATATACGTCGAGTTCCATCGGGTGTCAACATCATAATTGACTTGTTTCCCAGATGATACTTCTTTCCAATCTTGGCGGCGCTGTGGGCTACGGGCGATCCACAGCGTCAGAAGTCGTATTTTCATGATTGCTCCTTTCGTGCTGTGAATGGAGTTGAATGCTGGGCTAGTATGAATGGCCATGTCGTCCAGGATCGCCTTTGCTTCTCGAGCCGAACCAGCCCTTAAAGAAGCTAACACATCTTTGCAAATCAGATTGAGGATATGGGCAAGGCAAGGAATGAAGCTCGGTCGTCCGCGGAATCGCATGAGAGGCCTAATGCGAAAGCGGTCATCGTCATTATCATACTTCTTGAGGAGCTGGTCATGCAGGCTATCACAGAGCGTCCCGTTATTGCCCGCATTGTCTCCTGTGATGGTCAGAAGCTTTGGCGCGATGTCCAGTTCGGCGAGCATCTTCAATACTACTTCCGCTAAATTCTCTCCGGAATGCGGCCCATTGATCTCGGTGAACTCGAGGAGTTCATCTCGCTTTTCAAAATCGGGGGTGATCCAATGGCCAAGGATACCCATTATCGCAATCTGATTTTCTGACGTCCAAACGTCAAGAGACAAAGCGAGTGTGCGGCTGCTCCTGGCAAGCTCCTCTTTCACGTAAGCCCTACTTGAATGGAATTCCTCTTTGATTCGGTTGAAAAGAGTATCAGCAGTCTTGATGGGCAAAGAAGCCCCTGTTGCTTCAATGAGTGCCCTGAAAGCCGGATGCTCCACCACCGTGAAAGGCTGTCTTGTTTGAATGACCCATCGGACTAGCATTTCTTCAACGCCAACCTTCTTTCTCGGCGACTCCAAGAACCGGTCGAGGCCCCCTTCGACCGCGGGTAAGAAGATGGGGTCGGCCCCAGACTTGATACGATGCTTGGTCTGGAGATGCACCAACAAATTCGAAGTCGAACCATAGCGCGACGAATCTCTGGAGGACCAGCTGCAATGTTTGCAAATCAGCAGTCGGTCCTTTTTCAGTGGGCCACCCTGCCGACACCAAGTGCTATCCAGATCCGTGGTCCAAAAGTGCTCAATGGTCCAACTAGAATACGACTTGGTTTTTCGTCTTTTATACGGGTGCTGACTACTAGTATTGCTCCTGCTTTCCGAAAACGTAGGACCAAGTGGGGAGGGCGAAGAGCTAGGCAAAGAATAAGACTGCTTCGTCCGAGGTGTGTCTTCGGTGTTCGTAGGTGGGGAAGGCTCAGGAGAGTAAGGGCGTCCTGTTTCAAAGGTAGATTCCTCAGACTGCTCCGAAGGTGACGAAACCAGGCCATTGTGTAGAGCATTATAGTCTCGACGTGGAAGGCCACGCGTTCGCCGCATGGACGGATTAGGTGTAGACGCCATGCTACTGTTTCCTGGTAATATCAGTATATCAAAAGGGTATCGACGGTGATGCATAACATACCTTGAGCTACCAGAGCTGGGGTTAGAAACCGATAGGGGACTTGAGGATAGGATGATGGTTGACAAGCTCAGTCATGTTCGCGCTTTATATGCCCTTGTTGACGTGGAAAGTTGATAGATCTCTTTTCTGTTTTCTGCAACGCGACATGGACGATTCTAAACGTAAACAAATGCAGCCAGGGTCATTAGAGGCTCTGGGTCGTGGTGCAAACGCGTTTTTACGTGCCATTTCTCAAGGCTACTTTGTGCACCAAGTTTGGAGTGGATTGGAATAAAATCAGGGAACTGAGAAGATCTATTCGTTTAATTGCCTAAGATGATTTGCGATTAGGTTGACAGATATATATAATCTTAACGGATCTTCGTGGCCGGTGTCAAGTTTCTATGGACAGGCCCACGTGAACGAGTATCATGTCTCAAAAAGATCCACTATGGTACATAAAGCTGGTTAACTCTACATAGGTAGGTTGTACCTCCCAGCATATATTCGCAATGGAAATTCATAGCTCAGCGTTGCTGATGAAGTGATGGTAGTGTGAAATCGACCACTAAGCGCATTACGGTAATACGATAACCGCTGTACCGGACAAAGTATTAATGCGGAGAAATCTCATAATATGAATAATATGAATGCGAATATGAATAATGCGTTTATTCGCGCGAATAAAAAATTCATATATTCATATTCGCGGACTGCGAATATGAATATGTTGTATATTCGCATTCCTTTATTCCTTTCGGAACCCTATTTTCCATGAAGATGAGTCGAAGCAGACGCGGCTTCTTCAAAATGAGGATTCCACGGATCTCCGGCGCGATCCCAGCATTCGGTATGCGGTGATCACAACGTGGCAGCTATCGTTTGAGCAGATTCGTCAGGAGCGGCCCGCGGCGACCGATCTCCTGGCGTTGATGAGTATGTTCGATCGGCAGGGAATCCCCGAAGATCTGGTGCGCGACCACGATCAAGATATCTTGGACTTTCACGATGCATTGATACCGCTGCTTAATTATTCTCTGATCCGGATGGAAATTAAAGAACGGCTGTATGACATGCACCGCCTAGTGCAGTTATCGGTCCGAGCGTGGCTGGAGATGCACCTCGAGCTCGCAGGATGGCAAGAGAAGGCACGAGCGATCATGGCAGAGATGTTTCCCAATGGGAATTTCGAGAGCTGGAATGAATGTCAAAGGCTGCTTCCACATGCGAAAGAGGTGGTAAAGTCTACGTTCAACAGCCTTGAGGGTGTTTCCATGAATGTAGCCACGATCCTATCTAACTGTGGGTGTTATTTACATCACCAAGGTGCTCTTTTTGACGCAGAAGCGATGCTTCGACCGGCATTTGCACTACGAGAGAAGATGATTGGGCCAGAGCATCCTTACACGCTCGCTAGTGCCAACCAGTTAGGCTTAGTGCTTGACAGCCAAGGGAAATATAAAGAGGCGGAAGTGATTTATCGACAGGCACTAGCAATTTACGAGAAGGTGTTTGGCCTGGAGCACCTTGATACAGCCAGCATCGCAAATAATCTCGGCTACGTGCTTGACAGCTATGGGGTATTTGAAGAGGCTGAAAAAATGTACCGACGAGGGTTGGAGGTGCGAGAGAAGCTTCTTGGGCCAGAGAACCTTGACACGATCAATAGTGTCAATAACATTGGCCATCTGCTGGGCAAACAAGGCAAATTTGCAATGTCTGAAGCGATGCATCGACGAGCATTAAAGGCTCGAAAGAAGATACTTGGATTAGAGCATCCACACACGCTTACCAGCGTCAACAACCTCGGCACTGTACTTCAAGGTCAGGGGAAATACAGACAAGCGGAAGCGATGCATCGACAAGCATTAGCAATTAGCGAGAAGGTGCTCGGCCTGGAGCATCATATTACGGCCAACAGTGTCAATAATGTTGGCTTAGCTCTTGATAGCCAAGGGAAATCGGAACAGGCAGAAGCGATGCATCGACGGGCATTAGGTGCATTAAAAAATCTGTTTGGACGTGAGCATCCCCTTACGCTTACGAGTTTCAGTAATCTCGGAAATGCCCTCGACAGCCAAGGCAAGTATGAAGAGGCGGAAGCACTGCATAGACAGACACTGGAAGCACGAGAGAAGATGCTTGGGTCTGAGCATCCGGACACGCTCATCAATATTAACAACCTTGGCCATGTGCTTCTTAAGCAAGAGAAATACCGAGAGGCAGAAGCGATGTATCGACGGGCACTAGAAGGATTTGAGGAGGTAATTGGTCGTGAGCATCCTGACACGCTCACCTGTGTCAACAACCTTCGCTTCGTACTCTCCAGGCAAGGAAAATACAAAGAGGTGAAAGCGATGTATCAACGGGTACTACAATTGAATGAAATATAGAGAGACTTTTAGTCGTGAACATCCCCCAACAGTTTCCAGGTTAGTCTTCATCATTAGAACCGAGAGGCTTCAGAATCCCATGCCTGTATCTAAAACATTTAGTGTAAAGGAACTATACATGGAGCTACAACTCCTATCCCTGGACATCTTTCCTGCAGCACTGTATGTCTTCATTATTTGATACGGTCCTGAAGTACTTCTGGAGTTATGTTCCCTCAAAGCAGGCCATCCTCGTGAACAGGGTTGTGGAGCGGCTTTCCATTTAGCGGCGCTAGTATTTTTCATACACCAAGTTACATGATTGTTCTTTTACCCGTGTATTCGCCTTCCTAGTAATTTTGCTTTATGTACCTTTCTGCAGCCAAGAATTTCACCAAAATTAGTACATTCCCAAGTAAAATGATTATGAGGATATAAAAAATCAATATGGGTAACTAGGTAGCTGGAACGATGCTACATTACCTTTTCCATTTCTGTCAGACGTTTTTGTGGATAGTATTGGTGTCATATTAGTAAACAGCTGATTTTCTAGTAGTACATGTTGCCCTGTAATCCACCACCCTAACACTTTGTGATCTTGATGTAACAAAAGCTATCGAATAACAAATCAAGTAATTATCGTTTCTGATGCTCTCGGACAATATGTTCTTTGTGGATTAGGAGTGAGGGTGCTCGATTGTGCGGGTACTTTGTGAGAGTTTCATCACACAGGGCATTTCATGTCACCGGGATGGGGGTAGATATTATGTCTAAGCTGGCATCGATTGGGTTAGTATGTTTTGAGCTGGGCTTTCGGCCTCAAGAAACGACCATACTTGCAATTTCATGGTCTCTGACGCACCTCAACTCTGGTCAGATGAGACTCATACTTCGACTTTCACCTCCCCCACGAGCAATCCGCAATCTGCCGGAGATCATAATTGAAATCCATAAAAGGCACTGTTTCCGCCATACTTTTGCTTGACTTCACGCATGCGAGATCACGCCAGATACGTAAGTCAAGAGCAGATAGCGCACACAACAGAGCAAGAAATATCTTCAATCATACCAGGTTCGCCGGACGAAAAAGAAAATGCGTTTCTCTCTTATTGTGATCCTCGCGAGTGCGTATGCACCGGTGTCCCTCGGTGTGAGATCATTGATATTGATAACAAATGCGCGATATGGTCCTATGACAATCATGGCTGCACAGGGTCTTCTGCATTCTTCAGCCAACTTGATGGAGATGACTGTTCAAGTAAGTTACTGCCTAGCATGCAAATCAAGAAAATTAGATTAACGGATTTTTAGGGTTGGACAAAGTCGCCAACAGCACTCATCCAGGTTACCCTATGCGTGGCGCGAAGGCTTGCGGCACGGAAAACAATTCATCAGCTGCATGGGTTAAGGTCGAAAAAGCCGGGGTGATCACCTTCTACAATTTTCAAGGAGACAGCTCGACATGTACATTGGATAATGGACTCAAGCATGGCAGCCGCTGCACTACCTCAGACTTGATACACTCCACCAAGCCGTCATCCACCGAGTCGTCTTCCACCAAGTCGTCATCCACTAAGTCTTCCTCCGCTTTGACGACGCTGGACTATTCGTCATCGGCTGTGGAGCCATCCTCGACTACTTTCCAGACCGTAACTGTTTCTGATTGTTCCTGATAAAACTGTAAAACAGTTGGTAAGGAGCCATCGCCCTTCGGATTTACAGTCCATACCTCTCCGTGTATTGGGTCCATGGTAAGGGGGGGGCTGCAGCAACGTCAAGAAGAAATTTTATCAATGTTGTAGTAGACTGATGCTGGTTCATGTTTCGAAATGAATTGATATTACGTTATGTTGTTCTAATTGGGAGTTGTTTAGTCCAGAGAACGCATTTCCCCTACGTTCCACATTTAACCTGGTTCAGGGCCCTTAGATCATCTCATATGGTTGATAGTGGCGTCAGTGATGGCTCAACTAAAGCATGTCTTAGTGGTGTTCTAGTGAAAGTTCTGATATATAGACATGTAAATTTTGTTTTACAGATATGTAGTTCATCAAAGTCCAGAGGGCGATTAATGCCCGCATCGTATCAATCTTCACCCGTCTTCGGACCCTTATAGACTATATACCACGAAATGATGATCTCGTGGCTCAGTGAGTCCCATGCCCGATTTTACCAATCAAATTCATTCAACGGTTGTCGGAACAGCCATGCCAGCCAAGGGATATCGGCCAAGTGATCAGATATACTATTAGTTTCTAAGTCGTGGAGCCACTCTTCCGCAGCAGCAGCACACTTTCAGCCCTAGCATTCCGGTTGCGTCCACTTAGCAGCCAACAGAAAGAAGGCGTGGTTCCTTGTTAGCGTGGCTTGAAAGATCATCTGGTAACGGGATATCTTGACAATTAAATGGTTGATGCTTTCGCTGCAAGTCTACCTGGCTGCAATAATGGTACGTATCTACGACATCAACACCTACTGGCTAAAAAGACTCCTAAACCACATTGCTCCCTCTCATCCGAGTCGCAAAGACCCTCGAGTTCCTAGAAACAGATAGCTCAGTTCTAGGAGGAATGAAAAGCGCCCATGACAGGCACCACAGAAGCTCTGATTGAGGGTAAAATCACCAAATGTCATCAGGGCACTTCAATTTCACTAGGCACTTAGGTCATTTAATCCCTGAGAGTTCCATGGTGGCGATTAGACACGATCAAGGAGTTTCTCGGCGTCTTGCAGAATTGATACGTCTTGTGCCACTTGACAGAGTTCTTCAACCTATGTAAGCTAAAACGGGGATATGCAGAAAACTACTCACAGTTTGCCATCTTTTACCTTGGCCACTCTTCGCCTCGCTTGAACGGGGCACGACACCGACAGCGCAGATTGTGTGCTTGGGGATCGCCCCGACCTGCGATTTTCGACCCAAAAGATGTTCCCTGCATTGCCGGAAATTGCTTTAGGTTTAGTCTTCAGCTGGTATCATAGCTGAAGATGAAGGAAATGGTGGTGGGGTAAAAGTCTCAGGCAGACATACCTGATTGCCTGCGAACAAGCAGGCACACAAACTCGCTGTTCCAGCGGCCATGGCAGCATGCACATGCAGTAGTTTTCTGAGGCTCTCCTCGAAATCTTGCATGAGTTGTGACGATGATGAGTTCATATCCCTCGTTTTAGTAGTCTGATTCTGGCGGGGTACATCGAACAAAATTGAGACGCTGGGTCTCGCTGGTGGCACCATCTGTAACGTTCCAATTAGCAATCGATCCAGCTCGGGGCTCTGACTCAAATAGGAAGCTGGCTAACAGGTTCTGAGGGCAACAAGTGATATGGCTAATAGCCACGGCTGACAAGTGGGTTCAGGTTTTCGTCACGCTGACTTGGATCGGTTCAATCAGGCGGACCAGGCTGGTTGTAACACCTGCTGTTTGAAGAGAGTCACGAATTTTATTGGGCTGACAAGGGACATGCCGGTGCAAGAAGCCTTGCTTGTGGTCTCGTAGTCTAGTAAGCTGGTGAAAAATGCAATGTTTAGCTCGGCTCGGCTCGGCACAAGGGTACTGCAGTCTTACTAAAGGGATACCTAGCCAGGACTTAAGGTCTGGCTGGCGAACATGAACAGAATGATGTAAAGCGAGCCAGCATGTCTGACATGAGATGAGTAGGTGCAGTGGTCGGGATGTGCACCGTGCTTGTCAACAATCTGAAGCACTTGGAGAGTTATAGGTGAAAGAATTATCATGAGTTTGCGGTAGGAGGACACCTCGAATCCCGAAGCGAGAAAACCCATTCGAAATGAGTATGTAGAGGATACTTCTGATGAATACATATCAAAGAAAGTGACCGAATCTATAGTTGTCGACTTGCCTCGTGGTCACCTGTCTCCCTTACCCCCTACGTGGAGTTGTCAGACTGTTGCCAATTTCGAGGGGCTTTGGTGATACATGCGCAAAGCAATGTCTGTTGAGCTTCCTCTGACTGGAGTGACGGCCTAGTGAACAACAAACTATAGGCTGCTGAACCAATCTACGCATTTTCCAAGAGCCACAACCTGTCAGCGGCTCGTGGTGTCTATATCTGCTGTAACAGCGTTGATCAAGCTTCGACGTTGAACCAGCGACCACCACTTCAACAATTGTGACCCATGTGTAGCAGCTCGTCAGTTCACCGCGTCGAAATACGCTTTTAACTGCCATCAATTTGCTTTAAGTGTTGGTTACTGGTTGAAAACTGAGGTCGGTGAGAGTATTGTTCTTTGAGCAGGTGTGTCAACGTGCCCTCACTTGTTGAGGTTGGTCGCGCGGTAGCCTAGCTACCATAAATGTAGATGTCTCCCTCGAGTGTAAATAGCTGTGCCATATTGACTGTCAATATTGCAGAGATCGGGGACTGCATTGCTGCTCTGCTCGCCATTTGGCAAGGCTTCGTTTCTCAAAGGTCAAGAAGGTATATTATTTGTTCGCTGAACGCACAAACACGCTATGTGATATGTGTGCCTTTGCTCTGATAGCCTTGGCCTGGCCGCCCAGTCTCCTCTCAGCCCATCACTCGCGCTACGGATGGTTCATCATGCCCCGAGTATATCTAGCGATGATGGCGCGCGCCACTGTCTGTTGTGCTATGGTCATATGGCATGCGCAGCCTAGTCCCAAGCTCCTAAGACTCGTGCTAGGACCTCGGATTCTGGTCCTAGGAGCGACAACGCTCCTGGAACGCTTCTTATCGATCCCGAAGCCATTTCTAAGGTTTCGGGATCCATTTGAGGTCTCCTAGGGACAGAGAAGCTGATTTCACGCGCATACCGAATTACGTTTCGGCAGCGGTCTTGATTGTCTGTTGCAGTGCGCTAGACAGCTAACAACGCTATCTCCGTCCTTCATTCCGCGGTGCAACCATGATGGCTACTCTTTGGGGCAGAGTTTCTTGAGCCATTATATTAACATCACTTTGCAAGTAGTCGACAGCTATTCTTTGATTGACATCATTTCCCATAGCAATGCGCGTCGCTTCATCTTCGCCAATGTGATCCTGATAATCGAGAATGTTGAGCATATTCCTGAAAACTGGCATATACAAATAGCATTATCTAGGTATAAAGAGGGACTATGCTATCATCGTATCCATTACCAGTCTCCTCATTTCTGTTCCAGACGCTGTCCCCATCTACAGCCATCTCTACAATTGTCCAGCATCTTGCTCAAAGCATCGTGTCCGTCAAAAGCGTACCAGCTCAAATATTCAGCATGGACATGTACAACTATGACCTCCCTCCGAATTTCGAGTGCTGCCTATGCTGCAAACCCCCGTCTAAGACTGGAAAAGACAGTCTGGAGGTGGTTGATTGGCTGATGCAGCACGACCGTGTGCTCAGCTCGTGCTCTCGCCGGGCCCCAAGTGCGCTCTCATTGGCCATCATACAGGGCAAGAGCTGCGTCGTCCGACAACTGATGGAGCGGCTCCCTGCATGCGTCAACGATTCAGACTGGAACAACCAACGACCAATTCTGGCGGCTATAGAATACCGACAGCACGAGATTTTGCAATCGCTCCTACGCAATCTACATACCAACGTGAACGTCACAGATAAGAGTGGGCATACTCTTCTCCACCTAGCCGTGATTTACGACGATGTGACCGCCGTCGAAATTCTGTTGGCGAACCAAAATGTCGACATCAATGCTCGAGACAGGAAGGGCGATACTGCACTTCTGCTGGCTGCCAAGATCTACGGGAGCGACCAGCCCAATAGCAGCCAGATACTCGATTCTCTGTTATCGCATAAAGACATTCGGTCCGAATGGCTTGACTGCGCCGGCCGCTCGGCGCTCTGGCACGCAGTGAACACCTGCAACTGGCAGCTGATTCGCCGTCTTGCAGAATTTCCGCGGGCTCAGATCAACGTACCTGACCATCGAGGTGTCAGCCCGCTTGCTCGGGCCGTGATTCGCAGACGACTTGACATTTTCAATTGGCTTCTTGCTACCTTTCCGCAAAATATTGCCCGCGGCTGACTGCAGTGGTATTGCAATCTCGGTGACAACAATGGATCTGAATTCTGCGACTTGCTGCAAAGCGTGTAAAACCACTAAAGTACAGGCGTAGCAGAAATCTTCCGCCCTCTCTGCCAAATAACGTACTTCTCACAACACAAAATTTTAATGTCCTAAACGAATCGTGATTTTTCATTCCGTAGGCGCATTTCCGACATGGCTGTATTATGTGATGGTATTCTGAGCATATTCGGTCGTATCAAACCAGAGCTCGATTGCATACCTAAAATTGATCTACTGATTTTTAAATAATCGATCATTCTATTAAACATGTTCAGTGCTAACCAGTAAATCGGTTGTCATCTAGGCAGACGGCCTCGGAGAAGTTGGCATTAAATGGGCGTTCCAGATGCTTCCATAGAGGACGTCGCTGAAATACAGCCTCGCGTTAACCCGGCTCGCAAGATAATTCGGTCGTACCAGGGCATAGATAAAAGGAGTGCACTTCGCTTCTGGATAAATGGACGACAACTGAAATCTAGGTATCACGAAAATATTCGAATATTTGAGAGGCCGAAAGAGAGCTCAGGACACACGAAGACGATTTCCATCTCCTGCCTTCACTCGACATGGTCGTCGTTTTGCGACACCCCGTCGCTGCTTGGCCGGTCGGCATCTCAGAGTCGAACGGTGAAAGTCGATGATCAGAGCACGCCCGAGCTCTTCACTCCAAAGGACATTTTCTCGCCTGAGATCTTCATGTATTATCCCGAGAGCTTTTATCTCCTTCTTCGATTTATGAATCTCGCGGTGAAGCCGTTCCGTCAGCTCCATCGTCGCAGTACACTCACCCCCCCCAGCCCATGACAAGCATGTGGCGAGTTTGTGCGCCATGAAATAGATTTTTGCCAAGTCAATAGTACCCAAGGAAACAGGCACAGCAGATCCTTGGGCCTTGTGCAGCACTCGATACACCTGCGCTTCGCGGGAAACTTCTTTCCACAACCCCACAAAAGTGCCTTTCGCGATAACCGTGTAGCCATATTCCATGCATGTAAGTTTGAATGGAGCGCCGTACGAGCCGCAATCGCTGAAGGGTATGCAACGATCCATGTCTTCGTCCAGCTGGCTTTTCAATGAGAGCATGAAGTCGTCGGCCGATATCGGATGCTGAGTCGGATCGGTCTGGCCTTGGCGATGATGATCCACGTTTGGACACAGCTCATCCAGATCATTTCTGGTCTGCAAACCAAGTAAGCACCGCTGGGTGCAGAATTGCGCGGTGTGGCGCTAAGAATGGTCGTCTTGGCTGTGCCCTGCCCTTTGCTGGCGACCTGACCGCTGAGCGGACGGTGAAGATATGACCTGACTGGTCCTCCGCTTATGGCCGGCTGCTTGATTTGTGTCGGAGCCGGACGAGCCAGGTGACTGCGACCGCGGTCGAACCTCCGGATGGTAGATGTGGGCGGACAACGGTCAGAACGAAAGAAGTGGATGCATTGCTTCGAGGACGTTGGTTGTATGATGTTCGTGGCTGTCCGGTTACAATCAGTGCACGGCCGAAGACCCCAATGCTGTACGTCTAAGAGAATCCCCATTTCATGATATTCAGGACTTGACCTTAGCGCAGAACCAAATGCACGAAGCGATGGTCCTCTTTGACTCGTTAGTGAACGGTGAATACTTTAAGCACACGCCCATCATCGTCTTCTTGAATAAGATTGATATTTTCAAAAAAAAAGCTTGCTCTTTCACCTCTGTCTGAATACTTTGCCGACTTCAACGGCTCTAACACGGACTTGCGTGCTGCTGCAAGGTATTTTGCCGACCGTTTCAAGGGAATCAACAGAACAAGGGACCGTAAAATCTACATGCATTACACGAACGCGACTGACACAAAATTGTTGGAGGTGACGATGGCGTAGGTACAAGAAATGATAATTCGGAAAAACCTCCGTTCCGTGGGCCTTAAATCACAGTGACCTGGAATACGACATTTTCGTGACTATTAAAAGAAAATTGCTTCAGCGGTCAACCTTATTGGCATAGAACTTATAATTCAAATAGCCGCCAAGACCCCGTTGTGACGGCCTGCAGCTCAATGAAATGCGGCTGAATTGATCACTGGACAGCAATCTTGAATGTTATAAACACGTTGTGCCCGTATCCAATCATTTTGCCATAATTTGCGAAATAGTGGCCCTGGTGGGTAGCTGAGGGGCGGATTCTGACGGCAAAACGACATTGAAAGCTTCATGACTAGAATCAATATTGGTCTTGAATGCTGATTGGCTATCTCATCTGAAGTTGAGCTTAGAAGGGTGATGGAGAAGATGGGACTAGTATTCCTGGACCTTGTGCTACGGTGGGTATTTCTGCAGTTGTCAGTTGTGAACACAGTAGATAACTAGGATATTCACTGTAACTTTCGACCCAGTGCTACTGCCAAAGATTAAAGATTCTGGCCTCATTGGGCGAAGCTATCAGTCTGATATTCCTGACAAATCTGGGCATAACCAGTGCACCGACATGGAGATGAACTCGGACAGAAGTAAGTAAATTGATCTCTAGGCTGATATGGCAGTTGACAAGAGAATGGCCATTTTCGCCTGGCGTCTGGCCAATATCTTCACCTCATTTGCACCAGAGCGCTTGGATGCTGCTTCCGTAATACCAACGAGATTCAGCAGTCAAAAGCTGATAAAGTCGTCGCTATAGAGATGATGCATATGAAATCATTCGAAGAAGCTCCCAACCAGACAGTCGCTTTTGGCAGCGATATCATCGTTCAAATCCAGCGACCTGTATGTCATTCTTTCATTCTTCTGTCTGAAATATCATTTTCTAACCGCATTCAGAACTCCTTGACTGGCTCGACAGAGATGGCCGTCGCTATTGGTCTTGCCTCTTGGCCCAACAGAGCCTGCCAGCCTGCCAGCAGCATCATGGGCTGCATTTACAATGGGCTGTTTGACCCTGCGTACCACGGGACCTACTTGCCACCTTACCAGAACTTCACGGTCATAGTTCCCTTCGCTTTTGCGGCAGGTCAGGCTCAGATCAACGTGGCTCATACCACACTTATTGGGGTGAGTCAAACTTGATCACCATTGTCGGCTGGTATTGTGCTGGCCTTTGTGACAGGCTGGCCCGTATCCTGGTCTGGAAACTCTCAATCAGACTATAATCATTTCTGTTGTGATATGAGGCTGGTGCAGATCAGGAACCAAGCCGCGCCGTCGGAATTAGATCCGAAGTATCTATACAGACGACCAAGTTGATTGAAAATCAACTTGGGTAATTCTTGTATATATAGGCTCATGCATCCCTCCGAGATAACAACTTAATTCATACCTCTGAACAACAACAGGTTATGAGCCCGAGAGCAAATCTTGGGTGCCGTCTCTACTCATCTAAGAATCATTTTATCAATCTTGATTATATATCTACCCCGCTTTCGCCATCATCACTATGTCTGCTCTGGTCCATGACTCTCCCGACCGAGCCGTCACGGCTATCGAGCCTTTGACAGGAAGCGACAACTTCGCGACCTGGAAACGTCTCATGACCTCCTACCTGAAAGCCAGGCAGGTCTGGGATGTCGTGTCGGGCGACCTTCAGCGTCCCGACTGTCTATTCAAGTACGCCAAACCTATTACGGCGGACATCCACCCCTTGGTGGAGCCCCACCTCAATGGGGCGGTGAGGCAGCGAGCCATTGAAGCGCGCCTCGAAGTGGAGGTCCAGGCATTTGAGCGCCATCGCGAATGGTCGCGCCGCGAAGCCGAGGCCTATCACACCATCTTCCGGTACCTGTCCCCCCACATCAGCATTCATGTCGCGGGACTAGAGACGTCTCGCGACCTCTGGAATGAACTTGAAGAACGGTACCGGCGAATGGAACTCGCCACCTTCTGCGAACTGTTTGCTCAACTTCGCGAGACCACCGGCGAACGATGCGGCAGTGCGCGCGAATTCGTTGATCGTGTACGGTTGCTCGTACATCGATTGAATGCCATCGCGCCCGGATCGATTGGTGATCGGACACACATCGCGATCTTGCTGACGCAGATCGGACCGGAATACATCCTAGTTGTGGATGCGATCCAGAATGACAAGGATCCGGTCAACCCGATTACGATTGGAAATCGGCTGTCTAATGCCGAGCAGACGGTCCGACGAAAGGAGTCTCCCGTGCCCCCGCAGGGAGTCCCAGGACCGTCCGTCAATGCAGTGCAGCGAATCCCCAAGAAATGTGCCTACTGCAAGAAACGCGGCCATGTGGTCGCGGAGTGCTGGAAGAAACAGCGCGAAATTCACCCGCCTAGGGACCATGCCCTGAAGGCTGAACGGAGTGCTTCCGGCTCACCAAGAAACAACATGCAAAATATACCGTCAAGCCAGAGAGAAGATCGGCAGGGCCCGCCGACTTCCAAGAGACCGAGGATCAATATCGTGAGGGCGAGGGTGACGACCCTCTATACCCACGCACCGCAACCCCGGTGGATCCTGGACTCGGCCGCCACCAGCCATATCTGCTGGGACCGGAGCTGCTTCAGCAGTCTGCGGCCCCACCGCGAGATGCTGGACACGGCGGGTGATCCAGTGGAAGCCGAAGGGATTGGTACGGTGAAGCTCACGCTCCGGGGGAAGTTCAACCAACCCCTGGTGTTAAAGAATGTATACTTCGCGCCACGCGTCGGGATGAATCTGATCAGCGTGCCGAAGTTATTGCGAGACCGCTACTCGGTGGTGGCACACCCGCAGAACGTCTTTGTGCAACGCCGAGGACGGACTGTGGGGACAGCCTACCATGCGGAAGAGGATCTACTGATCCTGCGGTGCCATGTGAGCAGAAGATCTCGAGAGCGAGTCCAACTGGCGAGGGCGCCGACGACCTATGGCCATGCAGATTCCCTGGAACCGCAGGCGGTGGCCATGGACGTCGACGACCCTCAGGAGTCAAGTGACGCAGAATGCGCAACGTCAACCTCTGAACTCGGTGGTGAAGCTGTGATACTCGAAGAAGATGCGTGCAAGGGAGTGGACCAGGCCTCCGAAGCGATGTGGCACGCTCGGATGGGACATCTGAACCGGGGAGACTTGAGGGTGGTCCTCCGGCAGACCGGCACTCCGTACCGACCGCTGACGCAGGCGCAGCTGCTGGCAACGCCGCAGTGCCCGGCGTGTATGTCGGGTAAGCAGCATCAGAAGAGGAACTCCCGTGCAAGACGGCCACGTCTGCATTCAACGAGAATCTTTGAAATGATCCATTCGGACATCATGGAGATGCCGATCGCCAAAGATGGCTCCAGGTACGTGATCACCTTTACTGACGATTATTCTCGTGGCTCGTGGGCATATGCCATGAGATGGAAGCATGAAGCGCTCCAGAAGTTCCGACTATTTGAGGCCTGGATGCACCGACAGTTCGGCGCCCAGATCAAGAGGTTCCTCACCGACAATGGGAGAGAATACCTGCCGATCGGAACACACCTCGAGACCCAGGGAGTTGAGTTTGACACCTCGCCGCCATACTGCAAAGGGCAGAATGGTCTGGCCGAACGCACGAATCGCACTATCCGGGAGCGGATCAACACGCTCCTGTCTGATGCGAACCTTCCTCCTTCCTGGTGGACTGAGCTGTTAGAAACGGTGGTCTATCTGAAGTTACGCGCGCCAGCATCAATTTTACAGAAGAAGACACCGTTCGAAATATTATACGAGAAGCCACCCTCGCTGTTGCATCTGCGACGGATTGGCTCCCGCGCATGGGTGTTGATTCCCAGAGAGCATCGAGCAAAGCTCGGACCCAGGTCGTCCGAGTGCCGATTGCTAGGTTACTGTGAGCCGAACCAGTACAAACTGTATGAGATCCATTCCGGAAAGACCGTCTTTTCCCGTGATGTCGAGTTCGATGAGAGGACCCCTGTGGCGCCACTCATCGAGGGGGAATCAGGCAACGACCTCCCGGACAACGCTCCTCCGTCATCGGTCTTTCCATCAGTACCTTCCTTGGCTAATGGGCTGCCGACCCCACCGGTATCGCCTTTGCCCTTATCATCCGAACAAGAGAAAACGCCGTCTCAGCATGGGGAGGAAATACCTTCGCCGGTCAATCCAATTGAACAGGAAGCAGAGACCACACAGGACCTCGGCTATTCCATCTATGGCCGCAGAAGAAGACCCTCACGGCGCTTGCTGGAATCACTTGGCAAGGTGTACACCGCAGGCGCACTGAATACCACATCTGCGCGCACAGTCGATCCCTCAACTTTCCACGAAGCCGTGTCGTGCCCGAATCAACTGGAATGGTGGGCTGCCATCCAGAAAGAATATGCGTCGCTTCTCGAACACGGAACATGGGAAAAGGTTCCACGAAAGGACGTTCCCGCCGGAGATCATGTGATTGGCTGCAAATGGGTCTTCAAGACCAAAGTCAACGGAACGCGCAAAGCGCGATTGGTGATCAAAGGATATCGGCAGAAATATGGCATCGACTACCACGAAACGTTTGCTGCTGTGTCACGAATGGACTCAGTCCGCTGCATCATCGCCAGCGCCGCATTACGCGGATGGAAGCTTCACCAATTCGACGCCGTCACGGCGTTCTTACACGGTGACGTGGACTCTTCCATCTACATGGAGTTGCCCGAAGGATTTGAAGAGCCAGGCTACGTATGCCGGCTTCGTCGTTCCTTGTATGGACTTAAACAGGCCCCGCGGATTTGGTACCAATGCGTCCACCGCGTGCTGGCCGCCCATGGCTTCACTATGGCAGAATCGGACAACTGCGTGTTCTACAAATCCGATTGCGTGGTCTGTGTCTATGTCGATGACTTTCTCATTACGGCAGCCAATTCGCACGAAATCAAACAAGTGCAACAAGCATTGGAGAAGGAGTTTCAATTGAACGACCTTGGAACTCCGCGTTCATTTCTCGGAATCCAATTCGACTACCATGCCAACGGAGCCGTTTCGATTCACCAACACCAGTACATCCAAAAGATTATGTCTGACTTTGGCATGGAAACCTGTCAGGCGAAGACCACCCCGATGAATCCCAAGCAAGTTTTGAATCATCATCCGGATGAAGCACCTCCAGACGAGGAAGGCAAAGCACGATATGCAACCGCCATCGGTTCGTTGATGTATCTGATGGTTGGAACGCGACCGGACATTGCGTTTGCGCTGGGCACGTTGAGTCGCTTCACGTCTCAGCCGCAATCGCACCACCGGGTCGCCCTGCAGCGATTGCTTCGCTATGTCAAAGCCACACAATACCATTGCATCACCTACCGCAGCGGACAATTAATTGGATACACGGATGCCGACTTTGGCGGCTCTGTCGTCACTGATGGGGCATACTCCACATCTGGCTATGTGTTCCAACTTGCAGGCGCACCAGTTTCCTGGTCGTCCAAGAGACAGGGGGAAATGGCCACGTCGACAACTCATGCCGAGTACATTGGACAATACAATGCCATTCTGCATTTGCAATGGCTCCGCACCTTCCTGGCCGAGACACAGTTGTATCGGTCTCCGGTCACCAACATCATGGCCGACAACCAGTCCGCGATTGCCCTCTCGCGCAATCCCGAGTTCCACAAACGGACCAAACATTTCAACGTGAAGTTCCACTATCAGCGAGCCGTGCTGAATGCTGGCGAGATTGGTCTTCAATATGTTCCTACTGCGGAACAGGCCGCAGACGGTCTCACCAAGCCGTTGGGACCTACGGCATTCGCCAAGTTCTGTAGTCTTCTAGGGATCGGAGCCTCGGAGACTCAGAGGCAACAAACGTGACAGCGCAGGCGCTCTTTCCACTTTATTTTCCCACAAAGGTTTTTGAGTGGTTTTACCGAGGCTTGCCTGCACAGCGTATCCAGTATCGCCTTGCCAGCAAAGCGATCCTGAGGGGGAATGTTGTGATATGAGGCTGGTGCAGATCAGGAACCAAGCCGCGCCGTCGGAATTAGATCCGAAGTATCTATACAGACGACCAAGTTGATTGAAAATCAACTTGGGTAATTCTTGTATATATAGGCTCATGCATCCCTCCGAGATAACAACTTAATTCATACCTCTGAACAACAACAACAGT